GGGTCCGAGCAGGCATCTCCCAGCTTCACCATCTGGGATCGACCCTCCAGGAAGGACTGGAGCCACGACAGAACCGTGCCCCACCCCCTCTCCCCAAGGGGACTCGGAGCAGCTTACAACAGGAAAGACAATATAAATAATAATAAACACACAATAATTGGGGAAAACTTAAATCAACAGAAGTAAAAACAAATCATAATACATAGGAAAGAATAAATAACAGGAGACATGTTACGTATAAGTCAAAATATCACTCATAAGTATAAAACTAAGTAATAACTAGGATATGTAAACATTTTAAACATCATAGAATGAGCTCTTGTTGATGTGAACAATAAGATTCAGTTAAAAGTAGTCCCATTTAACCCTTCAAGCTGTTACTACAAGCAACATCAGAGTTGGTCAAGATGCAAAAGTATCATGGGATCGGGAGGTTGGTGAGGCACCAGCACTTTCTGGCAGGGAAAGCTAAAGACCTTGTAAAACTACAATTCCCACAATAGCATTGAGCCATGGCAGGTGTCAGCCTGCACTAATTCTGAGATGCACCTTTAGCTAGCTCCCTGCCATGAGTGGAAGCTTGAAACAGGTATGAAGTAATATTCAGTTGCTACTAAAATCAGTTTTTGTATATGAGATGAGCGAAATGTCACCTTGTTGTCTGCTTCCAGTAGCGAAAGGACAAATCCTGACATTAAGAATCTATAAACAAACGTATAGAGAATCAATTTATTGGGAATCATTAATAATATTTGCATGACACTTTTTTATCCAAATGTAGTGATGTTCAGAATGAACCAGTGCTTGGAAATGTTATACTACAATTTTCAGAATATCCCCGCCTCCAGCAAACAATGCAACATGGATTCTGGTGGTTTGCCTGGGAACTTTTCTTGGCAATTGACTGTCCACTATTCGAGGCAGAGCAACATAGTCATGTGGATCTTTGGTCTGATCTATCTTAGGATTTTTAAAAATCTTTCCGCACGTCAATGCCTTTCCACACCTTGTCCTTGAATAACATCATTGTGCAATTCTGCTTCTACAGCCCTTACCACAGGTGTGCCTTGTGCCGAAAAAGCATTATAAGGAGGTAGGACTCCAGAGACATTTTCATATCCTGGAGGAGGAGGCTCAGAAAGTGATGTCTTGAAAATCTGTTTGGAAGAGTAGAAATAAACACAGATCATAAATAAATAAACACAGTGGTTTGTAACATACAGTCAAAACATTGGCAGAGTTTCAGAAAACATTTGTCTCCTATGGTTCATCCACACCAGAGAATAAATGGAGACATTAGACTAGCACCCACGTTGGCAGTCTTTAGGAAGAACCTGAAGACTTGGTTATTCCAATGTGCCTTCCCAGAATAGGATAATCTCCAGCACTCTGTCCCATAAGCACTTTATTATAGTTTAATACTCTCTGCACATTGCACTTGACCAGAACTCCAACATACCACCTCACACACCCAGCACTTTTTAATCTGTACCCATCATTGGCCCGGCCCTGATTTTATTGTGTAATGGTGTAATGTTTTGTTGTGTTATTGCTTATGTTTTAATTTGCTGCATTGTTATTGTCTGTTGTTATTGTGTTGAGGCCTTGGCCTTTGTAAGCCGCATCGAGTCCTTCAGGAGATGCTAGCAGGGTACAAATAAAGTTTAATAATAATAATAATAATAATAATAATAATAAATGCAGCTTGACACCACTTAAATTGTCATGTCTCAATGTTATGGAATCCTGGGACTTTTAGTTCAGTAAGGCACTAGCACACTTTGGCAGAGAAGGCCAAAAGCCTTGTAAAACTACAACTCCCATGAATCCATAGCATTGAGCCATGGCAGTTAAGTTCCTTTCAAATGACAGTAACTTACTTCTAAAGTTAGATGCACCCTTAGAATTTACAAAAGCAAGTCACACACTATCTCATCTTCATAAATGGCAAAGGAAAATCTGCTCTGAGCAAAACTTGCTAATAAACCCCATAATAGATTCACCTTAGGATTGCTCTAAGTTGGAAATGACTTGAAGTCACATAGCAACAACTTTAATAAGACTAGTTGACAAACCGCATCTCCCACTATAGACCAAATCTGACACTGTGGTCATCGGAGGAGGCCCTCTTCTCGGTCCCACTCCCATCCCAAGCATGCCTGGTGGGAACGAGAGAAAGGGCCTTTTCCGTGGCTGCCCCCCACCTCTGGAACTCCATTCCTAAGGAGTTCAAGATGGCTCCCTCCCTCCCCACTCTCAAGAAACAGCTCCCCACTTTCAAGAAACACTTTCAAGAAACCTTTGCTCACTGGCTTATGAGGAGGAGGAGGAGGAGTTGGTAATACTGCCATTATACCTCTGATTAATAGTTATCATCTGTATCCGTGCCCTGTTCGCCCTACCAGCTCAATAGATATCTTGAACAATGATGAATCTATTTGCCCCAAGAACTGGGAAATTGTTGCTTCTCTTCAATATTTTGTCTTATGTCTGTTATAAGAGGCTACATTTTTAATTTAATTTTAGTTAAGTCATAATTTGTGTTTATGTGTTGGGTTGTTAAATTTTGTTAGTACATATGTATTGTTGTCGTATTTGGGCATTGAATGTTTGCCTTCTGTGTTTGGAATCCACCCTGAGTCCCTCTGGGGAGATAGAGCTGAATATAAATAATGTATTATTATTATTATTATTATTATTATTATTATTATTATTATTATTATTATCCTTTCTTCCAATCATCTTTTGATTGCTCTCCTCCTCCGTGTTTTATAATCTCAACAATCCTAGGAGGTGGAGCAGTCTGAGTGTATATAATCCAAAATCTCCTAGTGAATCTCATGGCTTGGGAGAAATGCAAACCTAGATCTCCCATGTCCCCAACCAGGTTTCTAACCATTGCGCACCTAGCATGTCATATTTGTATAACACAACCCAGCTATTCAGGTTTGATGGTCTTCTAATTTCTTTGTAAGATCTAAACATTCTTTTCCTCCTAGTCATGTCTGGAACACAATTCTTCCCAGCGCTCTGTCTTTGTTAGGCTCACATACAGTGGACGGAACATTCTGCCCTCTTCTTTACCTCATTTCCTTGTTCATCAATAATGGCAACATAGTTGGGGGTGCTTTGATTCGGGTAGGAAAGTAGGACATCATAATGAACTAGCTTGGCTGTATCCAAGCCAAAGTCCTTCCACTGAGCTTGTATCTGTCTTGCCAGGTGAAGGTTCTGTTCTGTTCCTGCTACATGGGGGAGCCTGGTGAAAGCACTAAAAGAAGCACAGAAAGGACCAGGTAAACAAAGAAGGCACACAGGCACCAAAGAAGGCGCACAGCTTCCTGTCTGACCCTGGAAGCTAAGCAGAGTTAGTCCTGAACAGTACCTGGATGGGAGGCAACCAGTAAATGGATTTTAACTGTGAATTTTAATACTGTTACATTTAATTCTATTTTAATGTTTGCATATTTGTATATTTTAAAGTGTGTGGTCATGCTTTAAATTGTAAACTGCTCTGAGTCTCCATCTGTTGGGGATGCTTTGAATGTGATTGTCCTGCTTCTTGGCAGGATTGAAGAGAAACAACTGGAAAAGCTGTCACGTTGCGAGGATTTAAAGATTGAACTGCAAAGACTCTGACACAAGCCAGTTAAGGTGGTTCCAGTGGTGATCAGCACACTGGGTGCAGTGCCTAAAGACCTTGGTCTGCACTTAAGCACAACTAGCGCTGACAAAATTACCATCTGTCAGCTGCAAGAGGCCACCTTACTGGGATATGCACACATTATTTGCCGATACATCACATAGACCTAGACGCTTGGGAAGTGTCTGAAGTGTGATCCAATATAACAGCCAGCATAGTGACTTTGTTTGCGGTGTAATAATCTTCTTGTGTTTCAAATAATAATAATAATAATAATAATAATAATAATAATAATAATAATAATAACCTGGTGCTGCACCCTATATTTCAGAGGATGGAAAGGACAAAACCACCTCTGAATAATTCTTGCCTAAGAAAGCCCTATGAAATTCACAAGGTCACTATAAGTTGGCAGAAAGACACACCCACACATATCTTGATCACACTCTGATGTTGCTTGGCCACATATGTCCTGGTTTTCATCTGTGAAGTATTAGAGAGTACATAAATGTTTTCTTCGATTTTTAAAAAAATGAGATTTTATTTTACTTGGGAAAATAAAACAGAAAACAAACCAACAAACAAGGTAGTGCAGAGCTTGATTTATAATCAGACTCATGCTTGTTCCATTTGTTTCTCTATAACAGGGGTTCCCAACCTTCTTTTGACTAGGGACCGCTTTGACCAAGGACCACCCTCCAACATTAGTACCAAAAGAGTTACAAATCAGTTTTTGTTCAACTTTAGGTTTGGTTTGGTTATTTTGGGGTGCTGGTTCAGAAAATTGCATTGGATAAACCACATCAGCTCTAGTTTCTGATAAGAACATATGCCATCCAGTAGTCGCCATCTGCTCGCCCACAGAAAACCATATTTAATAATCTAGAGTTGATGTGGTAGTAGTAATCTTTCGTGGGTAGTCAGCCTCTCCCCTCCCGATATCCCTGTTGCCTTGGAACTATGAGAGGGTTTCGCAAGACAAGTCACTCTCATTGCCATGTGGTTTCGAGACAACAGTGTAGTAATGGTGAGCTCATAGACCATATTTTCATTCTTGCGGACCACTGAAACTAGGGCTTATGAGGTCTATTAAATGCCATTTTCTGAATCAGCACCCCAAATAACTCCAGGAAAAAGCCTAAAAATGAAGACACCAAGGTGCCCCTGCTTCCAGGCACCACATGGAATGGCTCCGCTCAGGGAGAGGGAGGAGGAGAAGCAGCAGTCAGGAGGCTTGTTGTCGTGCCTTTCGTGGGTAGTCAGCCCCTTCCCTCCCATCCCTTCCCAACATCCCTGTTGCCTTGGCACTATAAGAGGGTTTTGTGAGAACAGTCACTCTCATTTGCATGGTGTAGTGACAATGAGGCCATGGATCATATTTTAGTTCTTGGGAATCACTGCTCTATAGGAAATAGAGAAAGATGCCCTTCCCCTAACACAGATTAGAATCATTGCCACTTGGATATGTATCATCAATTCACCTGTCAATGTGTGGTGACTTCTTGAGTTTTGTAGGGTTTTCTTAGGCAAGGAACACTCAGAGATGGTTTTGTCATTCCTTTCTTCTGAAATAGAGCCTATATCACTAGTTACTCCTTGTTAATCCTCCATCCAACTACTAACCAGGCCTAAATATGCTTAGCTTCCAAGCTCAGTTAGCATTAAATGTCAAAATATCCAGTTGACCCCAGAATGAAGTTATGAATTAATTAAATGACAGACCACACATTAAAGAACCAATAGCTTTTTTTTACATGATCCAGTCCAAAATCCAGTCCCGGTGGCGCAGTGGGTTAAAGCACTGATCTGCTGAGCTTGTTGACTGAAAGGTTGCAGGTTCAATTCCAGGGAGCTTACGCTGTCAGCCCCAGCTTCTGCCAACCTAGCAGTTCGAAAACATGCAAATGTGAGTAGATCAATAGGTACCGCTCCAGCAGGAAGTTAACGGCATTCCATGCAGTCATGCCGGCCACACGACCTTGGAGATGTCTACGGACAACACCAGCTCTTCGGCTTAGAAATGGAGATGAGCACCACACCCCAGGATCGGACATGACTGGACTTAATGTCAGGGGAAAACCTTTACCTTAGTCCAAAATTGTAACTTTTCTCAGCTTTGACTGTGCAGTCCATACAGTTTTACTGTTCTGTATAACAGCAAACAGATAAAGTAACTGTTTTTCAACTTGGTTAATGTTTGAACAAGAAGATTTGTGGTTCTTTTGTGAGACTTAACAGTGCCCCAATCAGGAGAATAGAATTTCCGTTCTCAAAGTCTTTAGCACATGACTCCACCCGGGCTCATTCCAAAGCAGACTGGTGGATTCAATGATTAAGTGATGAACTCTGAAAATAAGGAACAAATGCATCTAGGAGACTAATCAGTTCCAAAGGTCTCAAAGCCAATCCCTGTGAGGAGCAACTTAAGGAGCTGGGTATGTTTATCTTGAGAAACAAAAGGATAAGAGGGGACATGATACCTGTGGGTTGTAGGTTTTTCAGGCTGTATGGCCATGTTATAGAAGCATTCTCTCCTGACATTTCACCTGCATCTGAGGCAAACATCCTCAGAGGTTGTGAGGTTTGTTGGAAACTGGGAAATTGGGTTTATATATCTGTGGAAGGTGGGAGAAAGAACTCTTGTCTGTTGGAGCAAAGTGTGAATGTCTCCATTGACCACCTTGATTAAGCATTTGATGGCCTGACAGTTTTTAGGTGTGGCTTGTTATTGCCTGGGAAATTTCCTTGTTGAGAGATGATTAAGTGTTCCTGATTGTTTCCTGTCTTGAGTTTCCATGTGTTTGAGTTTTTTTTATTTACTGTTGTAATTTTAGAGTTTTTTAGTACTGGTTGCCAGATTTTGTTCATTTTCATGGTTTCTTCCTTTCTGTTGAAATTGTCCACATGCTTGTGGATTTCAATGACTTCTCTGTGTAGTCTGACATAGTAGTAGTTAGAGTAGTTAAGCATTTCCGTGTTCTCAAATAATATGCTGTGTCCAGGTTGGTTCATCAGGTGCTCTGCTATGGCTGACTTCTCTGGCTGAAGTAGTCTGCAGTGCCTTTCATGTTCCTTGATTCGTGTCTGGGCAATGCTGCTGCGTTTGGTGGTCCCTATGTAGACTTGTCCACAGCTGCATGGTATACGGTAGACTCCTGCAGAAGTGAGAGGATTCCTCTTGTCCTTTGCTGAATTTGTTGGATTTTCTTAGTGGGTCTGTAGATAGTTTGTGTGTTGTGTTTCCTCATCAGCTTCCCTATGCGGTCAGTGGTTCCCTTGATGTATGGCAAGAACACTTTTCCTCTGGGTGGATCTTTATCTTGACTCTCGTGGCTCTTTCTCGGTCTTGCAGCTCTTCTGATGTCTAAGGTGGAGTATCCACAGCCCAATGATAACTGTGTTTAAACATTTGAAAGAATGTTATTTTAAGGAGGGAGCAAATTTATTTGCTACTGCTCCAGAGACTAGGGCATGAAGCAATGGCTTCAAATCGCAGGAAAAGAGATTCCATCTTAATATGAGGAAGAACTTCCTAGTGGGAGGAGCAGTTTGGCAGTGGAATATGCTGCTGCCTTGAAGAACAGTGGTCTAAAGACTTTTCAACACAGACTGGATAGCCATCTGTCAGGACTTTGATTGTATGTTCCTACAGAGCAGAATGGGGTTGGACTGGACGGTCTTTGAGGTATCTTGCAACTCTATGATTCTATGATTTGGGGATAGCATGGAACATACACATTCAGTTGAAGATTGTAAGAACAAAGCTATGTGCGTGGTCTTACTGTGCATGTCAATGTGTACATTCAGTTGCCCATGTCATAGTGCATTAGGTTGAAAAAGTTTGCCATTCCACACAAGAGTTCTGTAGCACAATCAACATATAATTCATTTACAAAAAGCAATTCTGAAACAGATTCTTGATCAATATCTTCTCCCTGAATGGTGTCTTTGTGGTAGGACTGTGCTCATATATTCATTCCCACACAGGAGAACACATAATTTATTCAATTTTCTCCCTACTCCAGAAGCATCTTCAAAACTGCACAGCTTTCAAAGAATTCTTACAAAGGGGGGAGAAAGCATCTCTCATCACTTTTGTCCTTTTCTACACAATTAGTAGAATTAGTGCAGGGCTTGAAGAATCCAAGGCTGGAGTTAAAATTACTGGAAGAAACATTAACAACCTTAGATTTGCAGATGATAGCACTTTAATGGCTGAAAGTGAGGAGGAGCTGAGGAGCCTTCTGACCAAGGTTCTGAAAGAAGAAAGTGCAAAAGCTGGGTTGCAGTTAAACATCAAAAAAACCAAGATGATGGCAACCAGGCTGATTGATAACTGGCAAAATGTGGAGACAGTGACAGATTTTGCATTTCTAGGCACGGATATTACTGCAGACACAGACTGCAGCCAGAAAATCAGAAGACATTTACTTCTTGGGAGGAGAGCAATAACTAATCTTGATAAAATACTGAAAAGTAGAGACATCACACTGGCAATGAAGATCCGCATAGTTAAAGAATTGGTAGTACCAGTAGTAACCTATGGATGCGAGATTTGGACCATAAGGAAGGCTGACTGAAGGAAGATAGATGCTTTTCAACTGTTATGTTAAAGGAAAATGATGAGATTGCCTTGGACAGCAAGAAGATCAAATAATAATAATAAATAATAAATAACACTTTATTTGTACCCCGCTACCATCTCCCCAAGGGACTCGGTGCGGCTTACATGAGGCCGAGGCCGAACACAACAATACAAGCAATAATCACAACAATACAAGCAATTAAAATAAAACATAAACATATAACATTATCAATAAGACAACATACAATTAAAACTATGGGAAGGCCAAATGTAAAATTAAAATTGGAAATAGTGCTGAACATGGACGAACAGGTGATAGTGGCGTTTGTGGAGAGACATATGAGCAGACCTAAAAAATGTAAAGTGCTTTAGAGGGACAAAGTGCTATGGGATCCTTAATCCTGGAAGGCACACTGGAACAACCACATCTTCAAGCTCCTCCTGAAAACTGCCAGGGTTGGGGCCTGCCTGATGTCCTTAGGGAATGAAGATCAAACCAGTCCATTCTCCAGGAAATAAAGACAGACTGCTCACTGTCGGGAAGGATATTAAAGGCAAAGACGAAGTACTTTGGCCACATAATGAGAAGACAGGAAAGCTAGAAGATAATGATACTGGGAGAAATGGAAGGAAAAAGGAAGAGGGGCCAACCAAGGGCAAAATGGATAGAAGTTATCTTTGAAGTGACTGGCTTGACCTTGAAAGCGCTGGAGGTGACCACAGCTGACAGGGAGCTCTGCCGTGGGCTGGTCCATGAGGTCATGAAGAGTTGGAAACAACTGAACAAATAAACAACACTCAATTAGTAGCAACTGGCAGTAGGGGGAGTAAGGGAACCTCAGGAAAGATCTTGGAGTTTGTAGTTTTTGACAACCAAATTTGCTCCCCACTGCCCATACACCATGTGACATCAAGAGGTGAAGTGGAAGAAATACGGATAAATGAGAATCCTGGAGACTATAGCCTTCAGTCATCCTGTCTCAATTTCCCCAATCTACTCTACCTCTATTCTACATCAGTATGAGGTGAAGGAGAAGCAGTGATCAGGGAGACCATATCCTCACACACACCTGGGACATCCAGAGGAAATCCAAGCGAGGAGTTGAGCCTTCCTCCATCCTAACTCAATTCTCCACAACCTGCCCACATGACAACAAGAAAGGGATGAGCCAAACAGAGAGATTTGTATAAGCTATAGCCTTTCATGACCCTGGTTTGGCTCTCCTCTTCAATGGAAGACTAGAAATAGATGAAGCTAGGGTGCAGCTAGGATCATTTGTTGTTGTTCATTCGTTCAGTCGTTTCCGACTCTTAATGACCTCATGGACCAGCCTATGCCAGAGCTCCCTGTCAGTCATCACCACCCCCAGCTCCTTCAGAGTCAAGCAAGTCACTTCAAGGATGCCATCCATCCATCTTGCCCTTGGTCAGCCCTCTTCCTTTTTCCTTCCATTTTCCCCAGCATAATATCATATCTACTCCTAAATGTAACTCTTGGTTGCCAACTAAGATCACCTGGGGATGCCGTGCTCTCGGTCCCACCTCCTTCGCAGATGCAACTGGTGGGAATGAGAGACAGGGCCTTCTCAGCAGTGGCCCTTCGGCTATGGAACACCCTCCCTAGGGATATCAGATTGGCCCCCTCCCTCTAAACATTTTGAAAAATAGTTAAAAACTGGCTCTTTGAGCAAGCATTCGCAGATGCATTGTAACAGGCTAATTTAGATCCACAGAATAATTGAACGATATGACTGGAAAATGATTTTGGTAATGAGACGCAGAGGACTTGTGTTTGATTGTTTTTTATTGCTTTTATTGTTTTTATATAGTTTATACTATATGTTAATGTTTTACCTATATTTTATGTTGTTGGGGGCATTGAATTATGCCGATTGTAAACCGCCTTGAGTCGCCTTCGGGCTAACTAAACTTACCGGAGATAATCCCGGATGTTCTCAGCTCTCATTTCTGCAAGAAGTTGTCTTCGCACATTTTGAAAGATGTTGGACGTTCCAGTCGATTTATGAACTGATTTCACACACCAGCCTACAAAGTGGCAACAACCAGGAGAGAAATGTCAGCACTTAAAAACTCCCAAGGCTATTCACAGAACAGCATGATAGGATGCAATGATATCAGGCAAACTATTGGGGTCTTATCTGCTTGTTCATCATCCAAAATGTAAATACGTGGCCTCACCTGTCAACCCTGGCTGTCCACTAGCTTTCTTGCTGTGTATGTGTCTTCAAGTCACATGTTGACTTAATAGTGATCTCATGGATTTCATTGGATTCCAGACAAGGAATGGAATTAGCATTTTAAAGTAAACTTTATTTGTGTCTTTAAAACTGGGTGGATCTACAATGTAGAATGAATGCAGCTTGATACCACTTTAACTGCCACGGCTTAATGAAATGAAATAAGAATTATAGAATCCTAGAGTTGGAAGAGACCTCATGGGCCATCCAGCCCAACCCCCTGCCAAGAAGCAGGAAAATTGCATTCAAAGCACCCCCAACAGATGGCCATCCAGCCTCTGCTTAAAAGAATCCAAAGAAAGAGCCTCCACCACACTACGGGGCAGAGAGTCCCACTGCTGAACAACTCTCACAGTCAGGAAGTTCTTCCTAATGTTCAGATGGAATCTCATTTCCTGTAGTTTGAAGTTGTAGATTTACAAGGTCTTTTGCCTTTTCTACCAAAAAGTGCTAATGCCTCACCAAACTGCAGCTCTCAGGGTTCCATAACTAAGTTTTGTCAGTTGAAAGGATGTCAAATGACAGTATATGAATTCCACAGTGTATATGAACTCATAGTTAAACGTATGTCATGGGAAAACCTTTGTGGGATCCTGGCCACAGAATGCAAACAGCAGCACTAAGTAAATATTTAATTATGCCTTCATAGTTGTTTTTCTTTTAAACTGCATTTTATTTATTTATTTACTTACTTTTTTTACTTTACTTATATACCTCTGTTCTCAGCCCGAGGGCGACTCACAGCGGTTCACAACCAATAAAAACAGCAATAATTCAATGCAATAATGTAACAACAATTAACAATTTAACATATTACCCAAACAATACACAATTACTACATTAACCAATCACTATCGTCTCATCATCCAAAAACATAATCCAGAATTCATCATCCATTTTGATTCAGTTCTACAATGAGCTTCTTTTTAGGTTCACTTTTGGTGAAAAGGAGGAACATAAATACAATAAATCACAATAATTACAAAACTAGGTGTTCCAATTGTTCCTGGAAAGAGCGTTTTGCCTGGAGAAATGGCAAAACATGACATTGCTGACCTGCTGCAGAAGAGGAATAAAAGCAACCCCTTTTTCACTGTCCACCTCTTTTGTTCTCCGTGACCAACATAGCAAAAGCATTTCCAAATTGCTCCCTTTGTGTGTCAGCACTAGCAAGAACAGAATGCAGCCGTTCTGGTTTGACAGATCGGTTCTCCTTAGTGAATCAGACAGGTTATGCAATGTCCCGTCCTAAGCACAGACCTTCCTGTTTCTCTCTGAGCTGCAGAAAAGCGTCACCTCAACAAAATGTGTCAAAGGAAGAGCGGGACGTTCCATTGCTATAGCAGTGAGTAATGTGGCTCTAAATATGGCTTCGTACATCTCCATCTCCTAGTCCAATTACTTACCTGCTCCAACTACTAGCAGGTCCCCAGATTCTCAAGCTGACTCTGGAAAAGTTCTCTATTTTAAAACTATATCTCCCAGGATCTGCAGTCATATTTTCCAGCTAGAGCTCCCCTTAGTGATAGCTCTTACTTGCTGTTTATAAGCAAAAAGGGAAAAAATGTGGCATGAGGCTCCAAAGGCCAAACAGTTCAATCCCGTTTTGCGATGTAAGATAAAGGTAAAGGTTTTCCAGACATTAAGTCTAGTCGTGTCCAACTCCTGGGGGTTGGTGCTCATCTCCATTTCTAAGCTGAAGAGCCGGTGTTGTCCATAGATGCTTCCAAGGTCATGCATGGAGCGCCGTTCCCTTCTCATTAAAGCAGTGCCTACTGATCTACTCACATTTGCATGTTTTCAAACTGTTAGGTTGGCAGAAGCTGAGGCTAATAGTGGGAGCTCACTCTGCTCCCTGGATTCTAACCACAGACCTTTCAGTCAGCAAGATCAGCAGTTTATTTATTTATATTATTATTATTATTATTATTATTATTATTATTATTATTATTATTAACCTGCTGCACCACCAGGGACTCCTGCCATGTAGGAAGACACAAAGGGTTGAAACCCAGGGTTCTGTTCCTGGTGTGCCAGCTCCCATCGATTTCAATAAAGACACATAGAGGTGAGGGCAGAGATCGCTTTATTGCTTCAATGGACAAATAATGTCAGGGGAGATCCTCATATTTGGCATGCCTCCTGGATTTAATAGATATTTGAAAATAATAGACATTGTTCGGAATGGTACAAATTATGATCCATTGTCTTATTGGTGCATACTACATTAATTGTACGGGTTTACAGCTCAAGACTGGTGGATTGTGTGTGGTGCGAAACTTAATAAAGTCTTTACTGTAAAAAATATTTGAGTCTGTCTCTATGTTGAGGTCTGCCCCCTCTTTGTTGTTGATGGTGGTGGCTTTCTGGGAGGGAAACTTGGAGACAACTGTGGCCTTGACCGTTATTGAGGAGGAGTAGTTCTGAGATCATGGGAGATCACTAAGTGGAATTTATTGAGTTATATGGTTAAGTTCATGTGGGATCACTACCATGTGTGTGTTAAAAGAAGAAGCCTCACCTTAGTTAATTACAATCCACAGGCTCAGTAATTGGGGTAATTAAAGCCAATAAGTTTTGGCCTACTCGCTAAGGGGTATAACTGAGGAGAGTTTGTTATATGTTTTTGGGCTTACTGAATGTTTGCCTCTCGGCTTACTCACCATACACTCCTGGCTTGCCGCCTAGTTAACACAGGCTAGTTTGTCTTCTGTGCTTGTCTCCATGAACAAGAAATGAAGATTGGGAGAAGACATATTTTCTGATGGAAAGCATTGCATGAATTAAATGCAAGCACCATACATGAGTTTGATACTCCAGCGGAACTGTGACTGTACTATTACTAGAAAGTTTGAAGTTGCTGTTTAATTAATGAACTCTGCTGCACAAGAGTAAAATTTGAGTTTCACATTTCTTCTATTTGTGTTGCTCTTTTTTTTTGAATATACAAAGTGCTAATCTTCTGTTGGTCTGCACACATTGTCAAATCATAACAGAATTGGATGGCATGATTGGTTTGTCATCCAATTGATGGTTTGCACTCCAATATTAGTACTGATACTGAGGAGTAAGTTCCTAGGCTTTTTGGCAAATTGTGCCTATGGTATGGTGGTGGGAAGGAAAAGAATAAGGCAGGACTTCCTAGCACAAGGTGTTTTCTGCATTCAAAGCCAAGTGGGGTGGTGAGAGGTAATCCATCTGAGCTTAGGGCTCTGACTTTTGGGCGTCTGGTTTGAGATAACAAATGTCATGAAAATATCATTGCAGATTTGATCAATGTGGATTTAATATGATATGTGGGTATGAATGGAAGAATGGAAGGATGTATGGATGGAGTTAATAATTTTGGAAACACCAGTGAAGGACCAAGGCCTACAATGACTAACTACCTGTTTGCTGGGCTGTAATTAAAAGTTGCTAATAAGAACTGAAAAGTAAACTGGGACTGTGATAACAGAAATATTTACAATGTTAAGAAGGAAGTCAACATAAGATCAACACCAATCAAGAGGAATCAGCATCTGGCCAGGAAACTGAAATGGAACCAGGATGGAAGACGTCTATCATTAATTTACAACTTTGGGACTACATCAGCAGAATATTCCTATAAAAGACTCAATCTAATAATTCTCAAATTGTGACACACCTGAGGAGTCTGATTCACCCACCATGGTCTGCTCAATGGGAAGGAGAGAGATGGTGTATTCGGAGAGTGTCAGATTTGCAAGGGAGCACTCTGGTCACTTTGGGGCTTCTTTCTCAAGGGAAGCGGAAAAAGCACACTTTTGGAGTCTTACATTTTGTGCAGGGAGAAAGGTTCTGCTGTATGGAAAACAGAGATCTGGGCAGAATATAAATAAAGTTTTATTATTATCAGCTGCCTGCTTGCAGAGTTATCTGAGGGCCCTTCCATACAGCCCTATATCCCAGAATATCAAGTCAGGAAATCCTACATTATCTGAGTGTGGACTCAGATAATCCAGTTCAAAGCAGATATTGTGGGATTTTCTGCCTTGATATTCTGGGATATAGGTCAGTGTGGAAGGGCCCTGAAAGAGCTGCTGATATATTCCTCATTCTGCAAAAGTTTTTGTAATGTTTCATTTGAGTTTGAGGCCTCTTCTATGCTGTCCTCATATCCCAGGATCTCGTCCCAGGTGATTTGCTTTGAACTGGATTATATGAGTCGCCACTGCCAGATAATTTGGGATATATCTCTATATCCCAGGATCTGGGATCAGATCCTGGGATATAGAGCAGTGTAAAAGGGATTTGAGACAAGATGAACTGGAGTTAGGCGAAATGCTGATACTCTCCATCTTTTTTCTCACCTTCTTGTGCCTATGTTATCTTATGGCTGTTTATTCTACATAGGTAGCCTAAATATACCATTCATTGGGTTTTCATGGCAAAGGAGGATTCAAACCTTGGTCTTCGAGACAGTTTAACAGTTAAGCCACTACACCACACTGACACATCATTTCCCCAACTTCCTCTAATATTCCGTTCAAGTGGTAAGCATAACCAACAGGAACAAAGATGAAATGGGACCATAGGGAAAGGAAGTATCAGCAGGCTTAGGAGATTCCCAAAGCTTTTAAAATACAAAATATCCTTAAGACTATTTGAGGGCCAGTTTTATGCTGTTAAAACCCTGCAGGAATGCCAAAAATGGCAACACAACCTCACCAAAAAGGTAAAAACATCATTCCTAGTTTTGGAAAACTTTATATATATTGCAAAGCTGCACCCAATATTAAAGTGAATTGATGTTTTTTCGAGTACTGTACCCAAGGGAGGCAATTCAGTGATTTCAGGCTTGAAAATCAGGCTAGAGCCCTCAGTGGCGCAATGGGTTGAGCCCTTGTGCCAGCAGGACTGAAGACCGATAGGTCAGAGGTTCGAATCCGGGGAGAGCATGGATGAGCTCCCTCCATCAGCTCCAGCTCCTCATGCGGAGACATGAGAGAAGCCTCCCACAAGGATGGCAAAACATCAAAACATTTGGGCATCTCCTGGGCAACGTCCTTGCAGACAGCCAATTCTCTCACACCAGAAGTGACTTGCAGTTTCTCAATTGCTCTTGACATGAAAAAGGCTAGAAAATGGGAGCATGCCGAGTTAGGAGTTGCAAAACCAGCTTGAAAAGAGTATGCCACCAGTGCTATGTTTTGCCCACTCCTACTTTAGAAAACCTGAAGGCACATATACATATTGAAAGATTATATGTTCAGGAAACACAGAACATTGAACATCAGCTGGGGTGGGGCGGTGGCGTAGAGTAGAATTTCTTTGGAAGCAAAAGCTGGCTGGCTTGAGGATCATTCCTGTTAGGAAGGCCAAAACTTTGCAACATTTTGGTGCACTTCCGACTTGTCACCAGCTAAGTCTTAGTTTTTCAGGCTCAAATAGAAACTCAAAGCAACACAATACCTCTATAGCTAGAAAGAGAGAAAATATTTTGATAAATGGGTATGAGTCCACCTCTTGATACTCCCTCTTTCTGTCTTGTACAAGATTTTAAAAGAACTTGAATCGGACTGAAAGTCCAGGGTGGCTTTCTATAAAATATGTTGCTATTGCAATAAAATGTTGCCGTCTATATAGTTCTTGTTTGGGGTACCATCCAGCCATGCTCCATTTCAATATTCAGTTGGCCCTTGGTTTGGTTCCTGGATTCCCATGAATACCAAAACCCATGGTTGCTCAAGTTTGATTACAGGTTGAGTATTCTTTATCTAAAATGCTTGGGGCCAGAAGTGCTTTGGATGTGGGATTTTTATGCAATGCTTTCCATATAGTTATATAATGAGATATATTATTACCCCTTATTTTCCATCTTCATCGCTATGAAGATCTTATTGGTAGGAAGCTTCCCACCAGAGTGGAAATCATCTATCGGACAGATGGCAAGTGACTTAACCTCAGCAGACTGAAAGCCAAATCAAGGTCACAACAACAACTGCTATAGAGCTCCAATATGCTGATGATAACATAGTCTGTATATTCAGAAGTAGACCTACAAGCCACTCTAAACACCTTTGCAGAAGCATATGAGAAGCTCGACCTGGCGAAAACCAAAGTGCTCTTCCAGCAGTCACCAGACAATCCCTGTCCAATGCCAGAAAATCAGCTTAATGGTGTAACATTAGAAAATGTTGGCCATTTCCGCTACCTTGGCAGCCCCTCTCCACAGAAGTCAACATTGACACTGAAATACAACACCGCCTGAGCTCTGTGAGTGCAGAATTTTTCTGAATGAAGCAGAGAGTGTTTGAGGATCGGGACATCCGTAGGGATACCAAGGTGCTTGTTTATAAAGCTACTGTCCTCCCAACCCTGTTATATGCCTGCGAAACGTGGACTGTCTACAGATGTCACACTCAACTTCTGGAACAATTCAATCAGTGTTCCCTCTGAAAAATCATGCAAATCTCTTGGGAAGACAGGCGGACAAATGTCAGTGTGCTGGAAGAAGTAAAGACCAGCAGTATTGAAGTGATGCTCCTACGCCATCAACTCTGCTGGACTGGCCGAATGCCCGATCACCGTCTCCCAAAGCAGTAACTATAATCCCAACTCAAGAATGGAAAACAGAATGTCTGTAGACAAGAAAAGAGATTTAAAGATGGGCTTAAAGCTAATCTTTAAAAACTGCTGCATAGACACGGAGAATTGGGAAACCAATTCTCGGCTATGGAATGCCCCTCGGCTATGGAATGCGTTACCGGTGGACATCAGGCAGGCCCCTTCGTTACTGGTGTTTCGGAGGAGGGTGAAGACGTGGCTCTACGAGCAGGCTTTTGGCAATTAACTCAATAATGACGGCATCGGACAAGGAATGGAAAAAGGATTTTGAGATCGGAATCTGATTCTAAGTGTGGCGTTGATGATTATGTGTTTGTCTGTATTGTGTGTCTCATACATTGTTTAGTGTTGTTTTTTATTGTAAACCGCATTGAGTCGCCGCCTCAGGCTGATATATGCGGTATACAAATAGAGTAAATAAATAAATAAATAAATAAATAAACCCTGGCTCTTGAGAGCTCTAACTGGAGGTCAGTTGTGACCAGCAGTGCTGTGGAATTTGAAGAGGCACGAATGGAGGGTGAAAGGGAGAAACATGCCAAGAGAAAGGCACGTCAAGCCAACCCTGATGGGGACTGCCTTCCACCTGGAAACCAATGACCTCATTGTGGAAGAACATGCAGATCAAGAATAGGGCTCCACAGTCACCTATGAATCCACCGCCAAGACTTGGGAGGTCATCATACTTGGACAATGAGGGATCGTCTAACAATAATGAGATATCTTGGAGACGGGACCCAAGTCTAGACAAGAAATGTATTTATAACTTAGACATTTAGCTTGGGGGTATTTATATACAGTATATATATTTTTAAATGGGACATGAAACAAAGGTTGTATACACTGAACTGTCAGAAAGCAAAGGCATCAGAATTCAGCCACCTACACGGATGTTTTGGAATTTCAGAGAGAGGATTCTCAAACTGTAGTTGTATTGGTGGTCTAAGATCCAAACAGCTACAATGAATGAAACCATGGGCCAAGACACCTCATGGTAATAATAATATACAATATTTTTAATAATTTTGGGCATGAAACAAACATTGTGTACACTGAACTGTCAGAAACCTTATGGGTCACTATTTTTGGATACTGGAGCATTTTGGATTTCAAAATTATGCCATATATATATATATATATATATATATATATATGCCATAGTAACAGCAAAGGTAAAGGTTTTCCCCTAACATTAAGTCCAGTCGTGTCCGACTCTGGGGGTTGGTGCTCATTTCCATTTCTAAGCCGAAGAGCCGGCATTGTCCATAGACACCTCCAAGGTCATGTGGCCAGCATAACTGCATGGAGCGCTGTTACCTTCCCACCAGAGCAGTACCTACTGATCTACTCACATTTGCATGTTTTCTGAACTGCTAGGTTGGCAGAAGCTGGGGCTGACAGCAGGAGTGCACACCACTCCCCGGATTTGAACCTGTGACATATAATGGCATACTAACATGTAATCCCTTATATAGGATGGCAAGATCTGTTTTCTGAATAGTTAAATCCTTTGATACTGTTCCTCAAGATTCAAACAACGCAACCCTCGGACTGTCCTGATTTCTTTATGACAGCTCCAATTTATCCTGAGTGGTCTCACTTTTTTGGGGTGCTTTTAACATTTCCCAGGTTATCTATCACTTCTCTCTCTTCCCTTTTAACATCACCGCCATATCATCTGATTCCAAGCAGATAATCTGGATTTATATGGCAGTGTAGAAGGGGCCTTTCTTTCCCAGAAGGCTCAAGCAAAAGCAAACTGCTGCAGCCTCTGCTGGCTTCTGAGTTTTTTCTTCTGAGAATTATACATTCATAGAATTATGGAGTTGGAAGAGACCTCGTGGGCCATCCAGTCCAACCCCCTGCTCAAGGAGCAGGAAAATCGTATTCAGAGCAGCCCTGACAGATGGCCATCTAGCTTCTGCTTAAAAGCCTCCAAAGAAGGAGCCTCCACCAAGCTCCGGGGCAGAGAGTTCTACTGCTGAACAGCTCTCACAGTTAGAAAGTTGGACACAGCATATTATTTGAGAAGACAGAAATGCTGGACCACTCTAACTACCATGTCAGACTACACAGAAAAGCCACTGAAACCCACAATTTCAACAGAAAGGAAGAAACTATGAAAATGAATAAAACCTGGCTACCAGTATTTTTTAAAAAACTATAAAAAAGTAACAGTAAATAAAGAACATGACTCAAAAACAGGAGAACTCCAGACAAGAAACAATCAAGAAATCATAAAAATGAACAAAATCTAGCTGCCAGTATTAAAAAAAACTCTACAATCATAACAGTAAATAAAGAACATTACTCAAAAACAGGGGAACTCCAGACAAGAAACAATCAAGGCCAGCTAATCACCTCCCAACGAAAGATTGCCCCAGGCAGGAAGCAGGCAAGCCTGGAAGCTGCAAGGCCATTAAATAATCAAGGTGGCCAATTGAAACATACCTCAAACAGACAAGAGTTCTTTCTCCCAGCCTGGACATTCCACACATATACAACCCCTATATTCCTAGTTTCCAACAGACCTCACAACCTCTGAGGATGCCTGCCACAGATGCAGGTGAAACGTCAGAAGAGAATGCTTCTGGAATATGATCATACAACCCAAAAAACAACAACCCAGTTAGGATGTTATTCCTAATGTTCATTAATAACTGATATTGAATACACTCTGATATTGTATGGCCACAGATATCCCACGTTTAGTCTGCAAAATGTCGAAGCACCTGCATCCTGTGAACCCCAAACATGTTCAGTCTTCATGGAGCCACTTAAATGGGATCCGGTTGAACTTCTCCAGGCTTGGCTGGACTCCGATCTCCAGCATCCTCCAACTCAGAAGCGACAACTGGGAGCTGTAGCCCCCCTAAACCAATTCCTCCCTCCAGTCCAGTTCTGTTTCAACCCGGAATCCAAATAGGAAGGGCTCCACCAAGCGAAAGCTACTCACCCACTAGGTTTCCCAGCAAGAAAAACGCCAGGAGAACCACAAATCCCATCCAGCTGCAGAGAACTACCGTCCTCCTGGCCATGGTGCCTCTCCACGAAAAGAAAACTTGGCTCAGGGCTTTTCTAATGAACTCAAGGGGAGGAGGAACCGGCTGGAGGTGCGCCCCTCTCCCCTCCCTTCTTTCTCTCTTTCTCTCTTTCCCTCCCTCCTTTCTTTCCTTTCTGGGCCAGCAGGAACGGCAGAGAAGTCCCTGGTGGATGATGGGTCCTGGATGCCTCCTCCTGCCCTTACATGCTCCCCCTCCTTCCCAGGGTCCTCTCCTCAACCAAAAGTCAACCCAAAGGGCAGAAGCCAGTGGAGAAGAAGGCTCAGGAGAAAAGACCTGCAGAAGGCAAGATCAGGCAGGAATGAGTACCTGTGCATTGGGTCATCATCGCTCAAGCAATCTGGTCCCTGGGATAATTTTTCAGAGTGGGGACAGAGATGTGAAAATAAGGGCAGGGAGGAAGCAGTAAAGAGCCTGCTTCCCAGTGATTTTTTTCTCTCTCCAAATTTCCAACAATGCAAAGACTTAGGGTGTATCTCCATCAAGCATGGTGTTTTGGACTTTCCTTTCCCGCCTTCTCTCCCCAGCCTTCAAACCCCTCAAGTCCAGCTTTTCTCTTTCTGCTTTTCCTCCTCTTCCTCCCACTTTGGCAGGAAAAACAAAATGCAAAGATACAGAATGGGGGACAATGCCTGGGCTCGAGAGCAGTACGTGTGAAAAAGATCTTGGAGTCCTCGTGGACAACAAGTTAAACATGAGCCAACAATGTGATGTGGCGGCAAAAAAGCCAACGGGATTTTGGCCTGCATCAATAGGAGCATAGTGTCTAGATCTAGGGAAGTCATGCTACCCCTCTATTCCGCTTTGGTTAGACCACACCTGGAATATTGTGTCCAATTCTGGGCACCACAATTCAAGAGAGATATTGACAAGCTGGAATGTGTCCAGAGGAGGGCGACTAAAATGATCAAGGGTCTGGAGAACAAGACCTATGAGGAGCGGCTTAAGGAGCTGGGCATGTTTAGCCTGAAGAAGAGAAGGCTGAGAGGAGATATGATAGCCATGTATAAATATGTGAGAGGAAGCCACAGGAGGAGGGAGCAAGCTTGTTTTCTGCTTCCCTGGAGACTAGGACGTGAAACAATGGCTTCAAACTACAAGAAAGGAGATTCCATCTGAACATGAGGAAGAACTTCCTGACTGTGAGAGCCGTTCAGCAGTGGAACTCTCTGCCCCGGAGTGTGGTGGAGGCTCCTTCTTTGGAAGCTTTTAAACAGAGGCTGGATGGCCATCTGTCAGGGGTGATTTGAATGCAACATTCCTGCTTCTTGGTAGGGGGTTGGACTGGATGGCCCATGAGGTCTCTTCCAACTCTTTGATTCTATGATTCTATTGGTTCCTTTCCCTCCTGAGAAATGACTCCAGACAGGTTTCACCCCCACCTTAGAGAATGGAACTGGGATGGAAAAACACAAGTAAAGGTCTTCTTGCACCCCCACCCCCCCTTTCTCAAAGGTCCTCCAAAGAAAGCTCTGCTGTAATAAAATGAACAATGTTTTCTGTTGCTTTTAAAGGGCATTTTAGACCATTTGGATTAGATTCCCCCCCCCACTCACCCCCCCCCCCCAATTTTGTATTATCCTATTATAAAAAGACCATAAAGATCACAAGGCACTAAAATTTCCTAAGGAAGTTTTTAAAATGGAAAAGTACTAAGGCATGGAGCAAGCTATTAAAGCAGTGAAAACCTGAAAGCTCATTTGTGATTCTAAAATTATTATGATTCAGTTGGTGTTCTGTTGTAATTATCCTGATTAACTCTGTTTTGACTATAGCTGACATTGCACTTATGGCCTGTGTTGTTTTACTAAACTCTGTCATTTGTGGTACGCTAGAAATGCTGTAACTGCAAAATTTTGTGCTCAGGGCCACCTCCCACCTGTTGTGGTGACAGTATCACACCTTGTGAACATCCTCATAAATAACAAAGAATCTCTTCCTCCATCCTGTGCTGGTCACATAGATAAGGAGTTCCACATATGCATAAAATATTGCTCATGCACACTTTTTATTTGTCTGCCTGTGAAATTCTATAACGTATTGATGCATAAAATAAATTTGTCTGTAGTTACCAGTGCTGTGTGTAAATTGGACTGAAAACATTGTTGGGCTTGGTAGTTTCTTTAGCCAAAGTTATTGTTTGTTGTCTGAATGCCTTCCTGCTTAGCTTGAGGGCTCATACTCACTTTGTGTCCCACCTGAGAGGATACTATATGGCTGTTATTTCAGTCCTAACCAAAAATCCTATGCACTATAGCAGGCTGCCCATGATCAAATGCAAAGGCAGTTGTTGTTCCACAGAATTGATATTGACACTGGATGCTGCAGACTTCCAAAAAGAAATGTTTCATCTTCCAGTGCTATCATTACATTTAGCCTTTGGGGAAAAAACTGGAAAATTTTAATGGACCTTTTGAGGCATGTGGCTTTCAGACTATTATCTATTTGTCGAAGGGAGAATGATAAGTGTAGCAGCAGGGGAAAAAAACCTCCATTTGTTTGTGATTTCTTCCCTGGTATCCATATCTTAAAAATATTGTCACGAAAACACAGAAGCATACCCAAGCATATATATCATAAGCATACATTCTTCCATTGGGGGTTGGACTAGATGGCCCACGTGGTCTCTTCCAAGTCTATCATTTTATAATTCTATTCTATGACTCCATTCACCCTGCTCGCAACTTGGGAGTGATCCTGGACTCATCGCTGAGCATGGAATCCCAGGTCTTGGTGGTGACCTGGGGAGCATTTGCACAGTTAAAGCTTGTGTGCCAGCTGTGCCCGTACCTTGGGAAGTCTGACTTGGCCATGGTAGTTCATGCTCTGGTTACATCCCGTATATATTACTGCAATGCACTCTATGTGGGGTTGCCTTTGAAGACTGTTCAGAAGCTTCAAATGGTCCAGCGAGCAGCAGCCAGGACGCTAACTGGAGCAGCACTCAGGGAGCATACAACTCCTCTGTTGCACCAACTCCACTGGCTGCCAGTTTGCTACCAGACACAATGCTGGCTTTAGCCTATAAATCTCTAAATGATTCTGGCCCAGCTTACCTTTCCGAACATAGCTCTCCCTATGAACTATCTCGGAATCTAAGATTTCTGGGGAGGCCCTGCTCTTGATCCCATCTTCCCCTTGGCTGTAGAACTCCCTCCCTTGGGATATTAGATTAGGCCCCCTCCCTCCTGACCTTCCAAAAAAAGTAAAAACCTGGCTCTTTGAGCAAGCCTTCAGAAATGCAGTGCAACAAACAAACATGGAATTATGTAAAACTGAAACATGGAACAGCTAAGACGACACTACTGGAAATGAGATTAACAGGAAGACATTGGTTATTATAATTTTTAATGGTTTTGTATGGATTTTATAATGTTTTAAATGTTTTAAGAGGATATTGTGGATTGTTAGGGCATCAAATTGCTGCCAATTTGTAAGCCGCCTTGAGTCACCTTTGGGCTTGAGAAAGGCAGGATACAAATATCGTAAATAAATAATAAATAAATAAATAAACCGCGTAGGTGAGGAGCATCTGTTGCTTTTATTTACAAACTTGCCTGCCACAGAAAACAGATATTTTCTGTGGCTTGCTGTTATTTTTTGTATTGGTTGAATCAGTGATTTGGCTGCAGGAATGCAGCATGATTTTATGTTGGCCAAGTTACGTGTCCATGTGGGTGGACATGCATTTCTTTTTCTCAAAAAATAATGTAAACAGATGGTTGGATGGACATTCAAGTGTGGATGCAGGGATTGCTATGATGAGCACTCTCACCTCAAAATTCACTACCGTCCCCCTAGACATTTTTTGCATATAAACATGGAAGCAGATCTTAAACAGACACACATATGCATACAATTATAGAAGACATAGCTTCAAGTTGTCATGGTTAACCCTTTGTCATCCCACCTTTTTAATTTGCTTTTAAAGGGCAACAGTGTTTTGAATTTGATTTAACTCAATAGAGGGGAGGGCAGCAAGACAGCAGACAGAATTCTGTCCTTCCCAGTTCAGGCAAAAGCAAGTTGCTGTAGCATCTCCTGGCCAATGTGTTCTTCCTCATTAATATTTTTTGCCATCTTTACTACAATCTGATGTTGCTCGTTCACAGATTTCTGTGAAACATTGAAGGGGGTTGGTCATAGCAACAATGGTTGATTAGTTTTATGGCAGGACATGAAATCCATGCCACGGCACTGGCCAACTTATTAAAACATCTCATGCAACCACCTACAATGTTGTATAACATGACTACTAATATTATTCTAATATGTCCTGATTTCACAACTATGTTTGTGTTGGTGGAATAACATCTGCTTCATATTTTTGGCAATGTTTCTGAAATTGTGTTTTCATTATGGTTCACATGATGACTACAAGTGTGGCTGAACAGGAGAGGGAATAAAATATGTGGGCATGACATAGGTTAAATATCCCTTGTCTGATATGCCTGGGACAAGGTGTGCCTTGGAATTTGAATTTTGGGATATCTGTATTTGCATATATGCATATAATGAGGTATCGTAAAGATGGAACCTAGGTTTAAATACAAAATACATGTATGCTTCATATATCTTAGAGATATAGCCTGAAGGTAGTTTTATACACAAGATTTTAAATCATTTTATGCATGAAACAAAGTTTGTGTATATTGAACCACCAGAAAGCAAATGTGTATTTCAGCCACCTACAGGGACATTTAGTTAGTGCATTAGAATTGCCCACATAAATGCACCTGCATGACAAAGCCAGGAGGAACCTGGAAACTTGTAAGCCAGACGGGGGACACAAAAAGGCTGTTCCCACTGATGACAGAGCAACCCAGACAAGGAGGATCTACCACTTAGCCATAGATCCTGTGGCCCTTGGAATCTCTTTCTCTTCCTCTCCCTAGGTTCAGTCCCATGTGGTTCCCAACAAGCCTCATTCATGAGGACTTCAAAACCTTCCTCTCAATTGGGTGCATGGTGAGATGGGCACAAAACATCGGCCATAATATACAAATAACAGATTGAGAAAACATGTGGAATACTAAACTAAAATACATGGACTCCCACGACCTATGCGAAAGCTGGTACAAGATGATGTACCGTTGGTACATAACTCCAAGCAAATTAGTGAAATGTTATAATAATCTATCAGACAAATGCTGGAAATGTCACTCACAGGTGGGATCTTTCTTTCACCTTTGGTGGGCATGTAAAAAGGCAACCAAATTTTGGAAAATGATCCTTATAGCAATGCAAAGAATTATGGGTCTAACCATAGAGCTGAAACCTGAGTATTTCCTATTAGGAATTGTTGATTTAACTATGAAAAAAAATAAGGAAAAATTATTTAATTACTTGACTATGGCCACGAGAATTATATACGCAAAATAAAAGTGGAAAGGAAAAGACTCACCAAGCATAGAGGACTAGATAATCAAAATTACAGAAATAATGAATATGGACTGTCTTACCCAACACCTAAGAAATAAACAATTGAAGACATAAGAAAAGACTGATTGGACTAATGTCAAAAACTTTATAAACAAAAGAGCCTGGAAGGCAACGTGATAGACAATGGAACTGATAGCAACAAGACTGACAGGGAAAAACACCATCAGGTTGACAGCAGAGAGTAAGAACATCACAACCGCCTTCTCATCACTATTCTTCTCCTTTTTTCCTTCTTCTCTCCCTTTCTCGCCACCCCCAGTCACATCCCTCCTCTCATTCCAACCCTTTCCCTTTCTATCTCTCCCTCTCACTAATACGGTTTTCCTTTTTTATGAAATGTTTTTTCTCTCTTTTTTATGTATCACTGTTAAAACTTTAATAAAAAAAATAAAACCTTCCTCTCAGTTGGGAATCAAGTGAAGCTGGAAAGTTCAACAGTCTCTGCCTGATGGAAGGGTATTGCTATTGAGCTGGCATATCCCCTCCCAAGTTAATCTGGACCTTTGTAAGACTTTGTGTGAAGTTATATTTTTCCTTTTTATTTTTAACTTTTTTCCACTTCACCAAAATTCTGCTATTGTGAAGCGACCAAAAGCCTTGGAAGGACTTAGCAGCAGTTTTACCCAATGCTCTATCAGACTAAACCCTTTAATATACTACATGATATTTTGATGTGTGTTATATTAATTAATATTGTATAAAGTTAAATCAAATGTATTGTGAAAGTACCTGTTCATCCAGGTCTCTCTATTAACATAAACCCCTGGGATATCCGGCATTGTCATCTTTTGTCTTTTGTGCTCCTCAACTTTGTCTTCCTTGAAACTAGACAGTAAGTCAATCAAGAAACCATCTGCATATCCATGTCATCATCTTCCTTGGTTGTGCGCCCTTCACAGGGGCATCCCCACTATAGACTGGACTGTTAAATTCTTGCAATGGTTACCTGTTCTTCACAACATGGGGAACCCCTCTTCCTGCCTGTGACATGAAGGGAAACCCAAGGAAATCCCTGCATGAATCCTAGCTGGCTTATTTCTCAGCCTATCAGGGGGAGGCATGGGAAGTCTGAATAGCTATCACAATGTATATAATGTAATGTATTTCTCTGTGTATGTGTGCTCGTACATTTATAAGTGATGACTTGGTAATTAGAATCATAGAGTTGGAATCATGGGCCATCCAGTCCAACTCCCTGCCAAGAAGCAGGAATATTGCATTCAAAGCACCCCTGACAGATGGCCATCCAGCCTCTGTTTAAAAGCTTCCAAAGAAGGAGCCTCCACCACTCTCCGGGGCAGAGAGTTCCACTGCTGAATGGCTCTCACAGTCAGGAAGTTCTTCCTCATGTTCAGATGGAATCTCCTTTCTTGTAGTTTGAAGCATCACTTTTAGCCAAATTGTAATAAACTACGGTCATTTGCCTTCAATCCTGGGGTGCTTTGTTTTCTGTCCTGGCTGATCTGATTTAGTGAAGCTCTCCGGGCATAGATTTACTATCTGTGGTCTCTGCTGAAATCACTACGGTATGGCTTCCCAAATGGCCTCATTCATGCTGCCTGCTTCCCTGACATAGCATGCATGTGTCAGCATACCACATCAGCATTAAATTAGAGGAGAATTCCATTTTTTAAAATGTGCATCTTCAAAATTGGTCCATTGATAAACTGGTCCACAATTGGTCCACATTCTATGGTGATTATAAGTTTCCAAGTCAATTGGGTGCTCCATCTAATGTGGGTTTTAGTTCAGATTTTAAATTTGATGTCTAGGATGCTATACCTTATCCCAGAAATAAGATCAGCAATTTGGAGAAATCCTTTAAAGTTCTGAACCAAACATGGAACATATTCACTAACCAAAAGACATGAGATTTACCAGGCATCACTGTGGACTGAAGATATAGTCAACCTCTGCTCAGGAGAATTGAGACAGATGCAATCCAACCTCCAGCATTCCCTATTTACAAAGGCTACATCGTCCCGTAAGAAATCAGGTTCCCCCTTTCCCCAGCTCACGTGATGTTATCATTGAACATATTTATTTTACCAGATACGGGAGAGCAGTAAACATTCATGGCTCAGAAAGATAATGGCAGTTAGTTTAACTTTCACTGCCAGGACAAAACATCTAGGCCTACCGATTCTGTTAAGTTGTAGAAAATGCATTTTATAGATATGTGTGTATACACATGTGTCTTCAAGTCACTTGTCAATTTATGGCAAATCCATGCATTTCAAAGAGTTTTCTTAGTCTGTTGTTGTAGGGTTAAACCCCTGTGCTGGCAGGACTGAAGACCGACAGGTCACAGGTTCAAATCTGGGGAGAGGCGGATGAGCTCCCTCTGTCAGCTCCAGCTCCTCATGCGGGGACATGAGAGAAGCCGCCAACAAGGATGATAAAACTATCAAATCATCCGGGCATCCCCTGGGCAACATCCTTGCAGATGGCCAATTCTTGCAGTTTCTCAAGTCGCTCCTGATACGATTTAAAAAAAAAGCCCTGTTGCAGAACACAGAACTTGCATTTAGCTAACATGTTGATTTTTTGTATCTTCCTTGAAACCTATCAGGAAATTAATTATGTGAAAGTGATTCCTTATGAAACAAAAACAGCACGATGTGTCTATATGTCACTTCAACTTGCATGTTGACTTAGAGCAACCCAAGGAACATTTCATAGGGTTTTCACAGGAAAATAATACTTCGAAGTGGCTTTGCCAGTTCCTTCCTATGAAATATGGCCTACAGCACCTGGTATTTGCTGGTGGTCTCTCATCCTATATTAACTAGGTGTGACCCTACTTAGCTTCCAGGATCAGACAGGATCTGATGACTTTAGGGTATTTTAGTCCCTGACATAATTGAACTCCTGGCTTCCAGCTCTTCAAATATGTGATCTAATGGAAATTTTAGCAATTTGTCAGATCACATCTTTGTATGAACGTGCCTTGATGGATATTATTTCTTCAGAAACCACAAAGCAAATGGACAAAGTCTGCAAGTCACCACCCTCAAAACTATGTACAATAGGTCCTGCACTTTTACAAGTGTTAGAGGTATAGGACCGCTGTAACCTCTGGCTGAAACTGACCATAGAAGTGCCCTGGAGAACCTTGAAATTTTTAAGGATAACACATTAATCCATTCTGTGAATAATCAAAGCTGCCAAAGTTAAACCTGTAAACATGGAGGGTCTCTCGGCTGTACAGTCTTAGACAGTGAAAGGAAGTATCATTCAGGCAATAGAGTCTGAGTTTCTAATATTTCAAAATGATTCTTTCAGGGTCCCAGCTGCAGCTGCCACTGTGAAGGCTGCAATGGAGATCTGCTTCTTGACTTCTTCCCAGGCCTTGCGCTGGTCTGGCTTGTGGTCAATGTCAAAAAGTGCATCATAGATTCCAGGGAAAGATACTCCGGCATACTTGTTGTGGTTATTTGGGGCAAAGATGATGTGTCTGAATTTTTTAAAATAAAAAAGCAACAATACATGGCCATTAGCAAAACATCATTTACATTGGTAATATCTGGGGGATATTGCAACTGGTGAGGGTCAATCTTTCAGAAGTTTTAAAGAAGGGATGGAGAACTAGGTGAAATAAATTTTCTACACATCAGTCCTATTTTTTAAAAATCAAAAACCACAATATTACACTACAGTCTCTTCCAACACATTGTCCAGAAATTATGCTGTCTTACTTGTAATTTTGTGAGGAATTCCAGAGAAAAATGAGATTTGGGGAGTAGTACATATTCTGACTGCCTTGAGTCCCCTCAGTGAGATAGGTGCAGGATATGAATAAAGTATTATTATTATTATTATTATTATTATTATTATTATTGAATTATATTTATTTAAATTTATTTAAAACTTTTATATCCCGATCTTCTCAACCTCCGTAGAGGGACTCAGATCTGCAAAGGATGGGACAATTTTAAGGGGCTTTCTGCTTCATTTGGTAAATTTTACTTGATTTTTTAAAAATGCGGGTTTACAGGAACATGTGGTGGGCTTCAGGAGCCACAAAATTGGGACCTAGAGCTGTTTGAGGCTCATGGGCCATACTTTCCCTCTTTTAAGATGATGGAAGATTGATAGTGCTCCACCTGTTCCTGAACTACAGCTTCCATTGTCCTTCACTACTGGCCAGGCTTGCTAAGGCTGTGCACAATACAGTCCTGAAGCATATGGGGAAAAAAAATCATACAGTCCCAATGCAAGTTAAAGAGAAGGGTTTCTTGTTTTTCTGTGAGAAAGGAAGTTGGATGGATTGAAATAAATTGTTTAGGGACTTACAGGAAAGAAATAAAACTGAATGTCCTTTTGGTTCAGAAATGAGCCAAGCCAAATTCTTATTTTTGGGGAGACATAATTGGAATTCTGTTAGTTATACAGTGTTCCCTCGCTACTTTGTGGTTCGCTTTTTGTGGACTCGCTGTTTTGTGGTTTTCCTCTCAGTCCTCCCTCTCTCCAGTCTTGAAGGGCTTTTCCTTCCTTTCCTTTGCCCTCTCTCTCTTCACCTGGCGAAAGGAAAGGCGAGGAGGGCTTGTTTCCTTTCCTTCCTTCCCTGACAGCCCTTTCCTTCTCCTGCAGCCACCGCACTGACAGGGAGGCGGGCGGGGAAGCTATGGGGGGAGGGGGAGAAGAGGAGGAAGAGAAGAGGAATGCGAAGAAGGTGCACGTGAGTGGGAAAGGAGGAAGGGGAAGAAGAGGAGAAGGAGGGGGAGCCAGGCGTGCAGCGGGACAGTGTTTCCGGCGCCCGCCAGGAAGCGTCCTTCCCATGCAGGCCTGGCAGGATGTGCCTTTCAGTGTCCCTACTTTGTGGATTTTTACTTATTATGGATGGTCTTGGAACGGAACAGCTGCGATAAGTGAGGGAACATTGTAATCACAACTAGATTTAATGGGCTGAATTATTGTTGAATGCTGAAATAACACATAGGTAAATGCAACACACTCCATATCTCTGCTCTAGTTGAGATTGAAAACTGAATTTAAGCCTGACTGAATGGCTCATTCCCAAATCATTTTATTGTGAAAGTTTAAAATTTCCTGTTGTCGATGCATGCTTTACATACTTTGGTTAGCAGATTAGATTCAGGGTACAGCTCCTTTAGCTGCAATTCTGAACAAATCTTGGAGCAGATGAGATAAAGGGATAAAAGCCTTCAATCACTTTCCAAACTTCAATTTTTAATAAAAGCTTTCACCTCCCAACATGCCTCACTGGTAAGGGATGGCACTGTTGAGGTTTGGAAGATTTAAAAAGGAGAGGTAGTTTCCCCCTTCTTGATGGAGCATTATGGTATCTCATCCTGTTCCAAGATTTGTTAAAGATTAAGATTTTTGAAATGCCATTCTGTTTCTAATCTGGCAACCTTAATGTATATCTCTTTCTCATCAACTGAATCTAATTTGGTTTTAAAACAAATGGAAGGTACTGTAGGAAACCTAAGAAATGTAAAGATGAATGGGCAGCAAACTTGACTGAAACACACAATCTTTCTTACCTATAGAACGCCCTGCCAGGTAGTCCAAGGGGATCAATAAATGCTCTTTCCAAAAACATCAGCTGGTCATTCAGAGCTCTCACTTCAATTGGGCTGAAAATTAGACAGGGTGGACAAAAAAGTTAGAAGAACTGACCTCAAACAACCTTCAGAGACCACATCAAGTGATGTGGTTTAAGAGGATATAGACCTTTGGATTATCCCAGGGGACATGTTGGGGGTCTCCTGGATAAACCCAGGACATGTATTGAATTAGTTTCTTTAGTACGCATTTCTTAATTTGAGGATAGCTCATGCAAAATTTGTCTGGATGCCCAGAACTAGGAGACTTACTTATTGATGTTCAGGATGTGTAGTCTTTTGTGAAAGTCGCTGGCAATTTCTGAAAAGTTATTCACTGCATCAAATAGGGAATCTGGAACAAGAAGAAGAGATAATGCTTACAGTTCAATGTGAAAAATCTTGTCCAGATTGGTCATTGTGCCCACGGAGACAGAATGTGGATGCAATTACTGTATTAAACAGTTGTGTCTGGAATTTATTTTCAAGTCCCTCATGTGAAGTCTTGGGTCTGCCTTTTCTTCTCCTCTGCTTTACTTCCCCATTTATAGGTTTTCCCAATAGTGTAGATACCTTCCTTTGTATTAGTTTTTGAGTGGAGCCTAAAATCCCCCCAAAGGCCAGCCTTAGTTGGTCTATTCCATTTGCCTGTATAAAGCTCTTTGCTGGACTCCTCCTTTTCCTGCAGCAGAGCTACAGTGAATAGAGTCTTGAGTATTGTCTGGTAACCCTAGGCCCAAGCAAAGCAAAAAACGGGCATCCTTAACACCTGCATTCAGCAGTATTCTTATACCATCAGTCTCTGTGACAACAGAAGCTTTTGACCAGCTTAAGCTTCATAAGAAAGTATTGAGACAGCTTATAAGCAACATCTTGTAAACCATCACTTTGCACCAGAGGCAGAAGTCTCCAGAGAGATGACTGCAACCAGTAAAGGTTCCTTTTGTAAGTTACCTTATAATAGTCCTAGGTGGAGTTAACCCTTTATCCATCTTGTTTTCAGTAAACTCATTTTGGTTTTCACCTTGCCTAAAGTGCCTCCATGTGTTAAGGGTCTCAATCTTAACCGAAGGTAAACAGATAGCCAGACACTGTAAAGCCAGACACTATAGTTTTTCCCAAAGGCTCAGGCATGCCACCACACCTCAAAAGAGAAAAAAGTTTACAAAGGAGCATGCATTCCATGAAGAAAACAGGGAAGGGGTAAGCAAAAAATTGCCCCTGAAAGCCTTGTAGGGCAAGATCAAATGCCTGAAATGTCATAAAATAAAATGGGAAAATGAATAGTGCAGACCTGCTGGAACTAAAGCTCTATTCAAAGCTATTGAATGTTTACATTGTGTTTTGTTGTTTTTGATGACAAGTCTCAAAGCCACTTAGTGATCATGCTCACTGGCTTACTAGCTGGAAAATTCTACAACTCCAAATGATTTCTAAAAGGTTCCAAATGTTTTGCTTGCTCCTGATATGACACACACACACACACACACACACACACACACACCTTGATATTTAATACCTACCAAAGGATACCTCATAGGTTGCCACTGCTGCTTGGTGTTTCAGGGTTATATTGTAAATTACTTGTGCATAGCTGCTCAGCGCTGCAGCGTAATCCCGACAATCAAAGGGAATGATGACAGAGTCAGCCAGTTCAAACACCAGCCCCCCTCGGACTTGGGCTACAGCCAGGTGGTTCTTAAAAGTGGGATCGTAGAACCGTTCCACAATCTCATAGGTCTCATAGACACTGTGATAAACTGGATAGCTGCTGTATTTGTCCACTTTCTGTTAAAAAAAGGAAAGAAATGAAGCTATATAGACTGCATTTAAAAAGAGAGAGAATGCTCAATACTTTTTTTTTTTTACATTAGCCAACAATAATGTTGCAGATTGTATAAAGTAAGATCTTATACTTGAGGTGTAGTGATGGAGGGAATTAGGGAATTAACTTTCCAGGAGAATATTGATCCCCCATGAAAGTTTTATTTATTTGTTTGTTTGTTTACTGCATTTATATCCCGCTCATCTCACCCCGAGGGTGGCTCACAACAAAGGCACAATTTGATACCAATAAATATGGAATAAAACAGCACATACTTTAAAATCACATAATTAAAACATATCAGCTGAAAACAATTATTAAAAATCAAACAATCCAAAAGCATATTCCAGGGTCGATTCCGGTTGTCATTTGCATTGTTCATTATTGCACTGAGATATAATTATTGCACTAGGAATCATTGTCCAAAGGCTTGGTCCCACAAGCATGTCTTCACTTTTTTCCTGAAGGTCAGGAGAGAGGGGGCTGAACTAATTTCCATGGGGAAGAAGTTCAACAGGTGAGGGGCCCCCACTGAGAAGGCCCTATCTCTCATCCCCATCAGCTGTGCCTGAAGGGGGGTGGGATCATGCCTTGGTCACCTCCAGATTGGACTACTGCAATGCGCTCTACGTGGGGCTGCCCTTGAAAACGGCTCGGAAGTTCCAACTGGTCCAACGAGCAGCAGCCAGGATGTTAACTGGGCCCCTTACAGAGAGAGGTCAACCCTCCTGTTCAAGGAGCTCCACTGGCTGCCGTTTATTTTCCGAGCCCAATTTAAGGTGCAGGTGCTTACCTACAAAGCCCTGAACGGTTTGGGACCATCCTACCTGCGTGACCGCATCTCCGTCTACGAACCCACGTTCACTTCGGTCATCTGGAGAGGCCCTGCTCGTGATCCCGCCTGCGTCGCAAGCGCGTTTGGTGGGGACACAAGACAGGGCCTTTTCCGTGGTGGCCCCCCGACTCTGGAACACCCTCCCCAAAGATCTTAGACAGGCCCCTACCCTGGTAGTCTTTAGAAAGAACATGAAGACCTGGCTGTTCCGATGTGCCTTCCCAGAATAGGAAATCTCCAATACCAAGTCCCATAAGCACTTTATTAAAACTAAGATTGCCGCACGCTGCACACTGCACTTGCCCTATAAGCCTTATATTCCACCTGTCACATCAGCACTTTTTATCCTGTACCCATTCCTCTGGCCAGGCCCAGTTTCATTGTGTCTTAGTGTATTGTTTATTGCTTGTTGTTATATTGCTTTAATTGTTTTTAATTTGCCTTGGGTTTTGTATTGTTATGTTGTGTGTTGAGGCCTTGGCCTTTGTAAGCCGCATCGAGTCCTTCGGGAGATGCTAGCGGGGTACAAATAAAGTTTAATAATAATAATAATAATAATAATAATAATAATAGGACCTCCTCGGGCGATCTTAACCTCCAAGATGGTTCATAGAAGGAGATACCTTCGGACAGGTAAGCTGGGCCGGAACTGTTCAGGGCAGTGGTTCTCAAACTGTTTGTCCCCAGGTATTTTGCCTACAACTCCCAGAAATCCCAGCCAGTTTACCAGCTGTTAGGATTTCTGGGAGCTGAAGGCCAAAACATCTGGGGAATCCCAGGTGGAGAACCACTGGTTTAGGGCTTTATAGGCTAAAGCCAGCACTTTGGAGATTTATTAAGTTATCAAATTTGTGGCACTGCAGAATCTTACAACTTTGGTTGAACATTAAGGAATACATTTTAGGGTATAAATAAAGATGATGATGATGATGATGATGATGATGATGATGAAGAGAAAATAGGCAGGCAGTGCTATACTCAGTACACTCAGGAAAAAATAAACTGCTGAAGCCTCTCCTGGCTTGTGTATCCTTCCTTATTAACAACTGCTGCCATCTTGGGCACACTATAATGTGTTCAAGAACACGTATATCTAATGTTTCATCATTTTTAATTAAGTTGACTTGATATGTAAAAATGAATCATGCCAGTGAGTAACAATGAGACTTACCACATTTTTTGTGTAACGAGCTCTGCCAGAAGCAATGCCCAACCTTTGGAAAAAGACTTCAAAGTCATTGCCAGAGCCCAGCTTGTTGATCCTTTTGATGTGTGGAAGAAGGACAGAGGAAAGATTGCATGAATATCACCACAAAATTGTTGGTTTTAAACAAAACACTACAACATCTGGTATAGATATTCATATATAAGTACTATGGAACCTAGGGTAGATTCATTTCTTTCTTATGACAAAAGCAAAGAATGTGTGTGTTTGTGTATGTGTGTCAGTGTGTCCATGTATGTACCTATGCAAGGTTATTTTGAAATGGTGACATCATTTGTCAAAGCAGGAAACAAAATCGGACAGACTTCCCAGCTAGTTGTGTGCTTTGGAACAAGAGCAGAGTTTTGAAAAGTTACTTCTTTGGACCACAATTCCCAGAATCCCCATTGCAGTCCATTATTTTTTGAAACAATGATTTTATTCATAAAAAAACCCGAAGTTTTTTCAGCTGCACCACAGCATCTAAAAATGATAGCTATAGCAAATTGTACAACAGTTCAACACTGATATTTGTAGGACTGGAACCCACCGTGTCAAGATCCATTTCCAAAACAATATGACCTCTCTAGTACAGCCCTATTCTTGATCTGGAAGTCTTTCATTTCAATAGAGTTCAATATTATCCATGTTTTGTTTTATTTTGTGTTTTTTTTTTATCCATGAGAACAAAGTCTAGGGTTGTATTCCCCCATGGATTTGGGAGTGGTACTATATAGAATTTAGCTTTCTGTATTTCACATGTGGAGCCCCTGGTGGCATAATGGGTTTAGCCCTTGTGCCAGCAGGACTGATGACCATTTGATCAGTGGTTCAAATCCGGGGTGAGCAGGTTGAGCTCTTTCTGTCAGCTCCAGCTCCCCATGCAGGGACATGAGAGAAGCCTCCCACAAGGATGGTAAACATCAAACATCTGGGCACCCCCTGGGCAATGTCCTTGCAGACGGCCAATTCTCTCGCACCAGAAGCAACTTGCCACTCCTGACACGGAAAAAAAATCACGTGTCTGCTAGTCAAAGAGATAAAGACTAAACTATATTCCTACTTCCAGCTACCTATCTACCTATTTATTTATTTGCCACATTTCTCCCAGTGTGGAATCCAAGGTGGATTGCACAAAGGACCAACTAAAATGTGACAACAAAGTATCAAACATGATGAAAAACCATCAATAGCTTCCAATCCTGCAATGTTAACATCACCAAACATAATACAATCATTCACTTCTACTTCTGTATTTGCATGCCAACAATAATGTGATAGTGGGTTGTTGTAGGTTTTTCGGGGCTATATAGCCATGTTCTAAAAGCATGGCCATATAGCCCGAAAAACTAACAACCCAGTGATTCCAGCCATGAAAGCCTTTAAGAATACAATAATGTGATAGTAGGGACCAAGATTCTCCTTCTTTCCCTCTCTCCTCCTCCCTCTTGATATTCTTTTGTTTCATAGACACGTTTGCCCCCTTTTTGTGTTTTTAATGCTGAAATTGAACAATTGCACTAAAAATAAAAATAAAACAAAACAAAGTAACTGCAGAAGTACAAAAAGACAGGGTCATGACATTGTGTGGAAGTAAGATCATGAGGCTATGGATTGGTGAATTAGCCCCAGGGCTCTATTGAAGAGAGATGCAATGTCAAAGGAGCTCAACATGCTATTAATCCATTATCTACAATAATGAGGCTGTGATGCAATAGCAGTTTCATTTGATTGATATAGTCTTATCTGAGTATCCACTCACACCCCTAGATATGAAATTGTCATAAAGTGATGACACTTAGCACTATCAAGTTGAGGTTGCAGGTAGGCTGGAGGTGCTTTGGGCGAGTAGGCACCAGATACTTCTTTCTGCAATATCATAAATAGTATGTACACAAGCACAGCCCCTGCTTTTGCCAGCATTTATCTGCCATAGGATTCCAGTCTAACTAGTTCACTGCAGCTATAGGAGGAAACTCCACCTCACCCCACATTGAAGCACAATTGATTTCCCCTCCATTCCAACTTGGCATTTACCTGGGGACACCTTTCGGTTCTGTAGATGGGTTTTTCTCATACCAGCTTTCATAAAGAGATTTGCCTTTAAACTCTTCATCGGGGCTTGGTATCTAATAAAACAGAATACAGTTTGCATTCATTAAAGGGAAATGAACAGACAGAAACTTTGCTGCACTATCCTCTATCTCTTTCAGCAAGGGAAAGACGGTGCACTTTCCCTTTAGGAAAAGGAAGTTTCCCTTCAGGAAGTCCCAAGTTCAATTATCTGCTTCTCTGGGAAGGCTAGAAAATAATCTTACCTGAAGAAAGTAGTTTCCAGTCAGTTTTAATAATATTTAGGGAGATAAACAAATATTACACAGCTTTGGATTTTCACCTGGACAGTGCCATTAAAACCATGTATGAGACTGGTGAAGGACATGCATGGAATTACCACAGCATGAGTCTCATGGAGACTAAAAACATTTTGCAGGAGGATTTAAAATAAGACTCTTCCCTTTCTTTCCTTCTCCTCTCTTTATACTAGTGCAAATACTTCTGAATCCCCTGTCTTTGGGGAGTTTTCTTCCACAATGGTATGTCTATACCAGTGTGTGACATAATCCTGCAAAGCATCTGATAAGTAAATGCCCTGTTAAGCAACCTGTACAAGGCTTCCTTGCCTGTTGTTTTCCATTAAATATCCAAAACTTCTGCTCTTTTGCGTTAGAGCAAAAGCATTTACAGTGAACCTTCCACATTTGGAAGCACAAAACCAGCACAAAAAATGGAAAATGCAATAAAAAAAAACAATTATTTTTTTCAACCTGTGAAAACACATCTCTAGGACTCTCTGGGCCTTCCAGAGCACCTTTATGGTCAGTGTCTGTTGGAGGAACTAGAAATTCCAATGGAAGCCCTTGAGAATGTCGAGTCCCAATGGTCCACAATTAATGCCACAGCACAGCACTTTTGCCCCATGTCCTAGTTCATTAGTTAAAATTTGCACTATCCTATTCCCTGCTCCTGTTTGCACTTGGCTATGTTTTACAACAGCTCTCACCCAAGATTTTTGGGTGGAGCTTAAACTTTGTTTTAAATGTTATTAGTTATCTTGCATTGTATTGTCTGTTTGTTTTATGCGTTGTTTTAGGCACATTGTGTCATATGTGAGCTGTACCAAGTACCTTCAGGGAGATGGAGGAAGGGTACAGAAATAAAATTGTTGTGTTAGATATATTAATAAAATCTGTAAATAATGAAATCCACAAAAGTCAAATTGGCAAATGATTGACTTTATAGATTTTATCTGAAATTCTCTTTGTGATCTTGTCCCTTTATATTTGGAAGTTTGACTATTATATTAAAAGAAAATACATCACAAAGCCTTATCACATGAAGAACTGGCAGCATCACAGCAATATTACAAGTTTTGGGTTGCTGTGGCTTTGGCTAAAAATTATCCAGAAAATCATTCTTCTTGATACTTCCTTGCATTATTTATTTATTTATTTAGGGTATTTGTATCCCGTCCTATTTCAGCCTCCACAGAGGGACTCAGGGCGGCTACCAACCGGCACAGCAGTGCCAACAACAGAACAAAACAAGCATAAATATACATATTATAAAAAACAATATAAAAACATTATAAAACATTAAAACAGTTAGCCAATTTAAGCTGTCATCATAAAAGCAGTCCATTATAGTCCATTAAAACAGTATCTTTGCCAGAAGTCAGTCTACTCTGCAAACACTTCATCCCATAGCCAGGATTTTACTTTTTTTCTGGAAGGTCAGGAGTGATGGAGCAGCTCTGATCTCGTTTGGGAGGGAATTCCATAGCCAAGGGGCCACAATGGAGAAGGCCATGTCTCTTGTTCCTGCCAAACGTGATTGCAATGGTGGAAGGACCGAGAGCAGGGTCTCCCCCGACAATCTTAAGGTCCTAGGTGGTTCATAGAGGGAAATACGTTCAGACAGGTAAACTGGCCAGAACCATTAAGGGCTTTATAGGCTCAATCCAGCACTTTGAATTGTGCTCAGAAGCTAATAGGCAGCCAGTGGAGCTGGCGCAGCAAGGGCATTGCGCGCTCATAAGCAACCTGGCTGCCGAGCATTGGACTAGCTGAAGCTTCTGAAAAGTATTCAGAGGCAGCCCCACATAGAGTGCGTTGCAGTAGTCTATTTGGGATGTAACCAGAGCATAGACCACCGTGGCCAAGTCCAACCTTCCAAGATACGGGTGCAGTTGGTGCACAAGTTTTAATTGGTAATTAACATTACCAAGATATTTCAACATACCTACATTTGGGATAGAAAGATCCTGAGCATTGTTTTTAAAATGAATGTGTACAAGAGAAAAACTGTCTGATTTCCCCATTCCTAATGAAGACATGGACTTTTTGTGGAATTGGGTTTTTTGCTGCTAACATGTAATGCAGCTCAGTCAGTAACATGTGTGCAGCTCAATCCTAAATTAGATTCACCAATGCAGTAATTAAGTTCCTTCTATTACACAGTATCATTACTCAAGTTGTATTACCTTTGTACTTTTAGGCATGAAGTTATTTATGTCTCTAAAAGGGAGGTGGTTGGCTTTAAGTATAGTTTCTCAGCAGATCTTTATCTCTTAGATTAGCTCTGAGGTAGATTTAAAAGAACAGTCAGGTTTGTAGTTTTGTTATTTACGCAGAGATCCGTATCTGTTTTTAATTTTCTTCACCTTTATAGAATTCCCTTTATAAAAAGTCTATAACTCAATGACAAGGACAATGTTTTGCATTCATAGGTCTGAAGCTAATTGTTTGTCCAAACTGGATCAGACCCAATCAAGGCAATGCTTTTCAGATTGTAATTGAAGTTAAGTCCTGATAAGTAGACTTATGTATTTAGGAATTAGAATTGGGCAGTTACATAATCTCCATATTCATTATAGGGCTGCTGTCATGTTACAATGGAGCAAAGCCAGAAAAGCGTTCATGCAGAATGGGATGAGGACTGGTCTGCACTGCACTTCATGTATATCAGGCACCAAACTGCACTAGGCACTTAACTTTCTATGTATTTTCACAATTTGCTAAAAGGGTTTCCTAGCACCTATATTATTTAACGGCGCTCCATGCAGTCATGCCAGCCACATGACCTTGGAAGTGTCTATGGACAACTCTGGCTCTTCGGCTTAGAAATGGAGATGAGCACCACACCCCAGAGTCAGACATGACTGGACTTAATGTCAGGGGACTACCTTTACCTTATGTTATTTAGCTAAGTATAGTAGGTCCTCCACATTTATTGGAGTTAGCGGTAAAGGATCCTCACAAAAGTAGAAAAATGCAACTTTTTTAAAAGTCCCTTTTTCCACTGAGAGAATACCTCTCTAGGAATTTCTAGTGCAACTCTGCCAGATGATCATAGAATTGCTCTGGAGCATTTACAGATGCCTAGAGAAGTTATATCTCTAAAAATCCTTGGTCCTCCAACATGGTTCTGTGGCCAGACTCTGGTGGAAGCTGATCACAGATGACCTAGAGATTCCTAGAAAGAACATATTCCTCAAATCCACAAATAATAATAAAAAGTTACACCCACAAATGTGATGGGACAACTGTTCTAACCAGAAGATGGTTGAACCTCAAAGTCACAATGATTGGGAAGGAAAGAGAAATAATAACAGTGGGTTGTTGTAGGTTTTTTCAGGCTATATGGCCATGGTCTAGAGGCATTTTCTCCTGATGTTTCGCCTGCATCTATGGCAAGCACCCTCAGAGGTAGTGAGGTCTGAGGATGCTTGCCATAGATGCAGGTGAAACGTCAGGAGAAAATGCCTCTAGACCATGGCCATATAGCCCGAAAAAACCTACAACAACCCAGTGATTCCGGCCATTCAACAATACAGAAATAATAACACTTTATTTGTATTTCTATCTCCCCGAGAGGTCTCAGGGCAGATTCCAGCATACACAAACACAAGGCATACATTCAATGCCTTGAAACAACGAAAAAACAGATACACAGATAAAGGTAAAGGCTTCCCCTTCATCCTTGGGTCTGAGGATGGTGCTCATCTCCATTTCTAAGCCAAAGAGCCTGCATTGTCTGTAGACACCTCCTAGGTCATGTGGCCGACATGACTGCATTGAGCTCTATTTACCTTCCCACTGAGGCAGTACCTATTGATATACTCACATTCACATGTTTTCAAACTGCTAGGTTGGCAGAAGCTGGGGCTAACAGTGGGAGCTCAACCTGTCCCACGGATTTAAACTGCCAACCTTATGGTCAGCAAATTCTACAGCTTAGCAGTTTAGCCCATTGCACCACTGTGCCCCCTAAGTAGGAAGCTGATTAAGTATATGCGTAGATCTATGAATAATTAAAGCCACAAAAGTTAACTCACAATTATGGTGGGCTGACTGTATATATAAAGCTATATTAAGGACTAGGATGTAAGATTCCAGAAAATGTTAATTATATGGAGCTACTGTAATATTATATGGAGCTACTCCAGTGGTTCCCAACCTTTTTTTTTTTTTTTACCAGGGACCACTTTGACTAGGGACCACTCCCCAACTTTAGTACCAAAAGGGTTATGAATCTGTTTTTGGTAAACTTTAGATTTGGTTTGGTTATTTGGGGTGCTGATTCAGAAAATTGCATTGGATATACCACATCAGCTCTAGTTCAGATACAGAACATATGCCATCCAGCAGTTACTATCAGCTCACCCACATAAAACCATATTTAATGATCTAGAGCTGATGTGGTAGTAGTAATCTTGCATGGGTAGTTAACCTCTTCCCTCCTGACATCACCATTGCATTGGTACTTATAAAAGGGTTTCACTAGACCAATTGTTCTTGTTGCCACATGGTTTCGAGGAAACAGTGTAGTAATAATGAGGCCGCAGACCATATTTTCGTTCTTGCGGATCACTGGTAGCACAAGGACCACAGGTTGGGAACCACTGATCTACACCATAGAAATTGTGAAGGGACTTTGAGTTGGGGAGACTGAGCAACTCCCCATCTATGCAGCTCATTGGGTGAGTTTAGAGCAAACACTTTTTCTGCCTCACCAGGTTGTTTTGAGGATGGAAATAGAATCATAGAATCAAAGAGTTGGAAGAGACCTCATGGGCCATCCAGTCCAACCCCCTGCCAAGAAGCAGGAATATTGCATTCAAATCACCCCTGACAGATGGCCATCCAGCCTCTGCTGAAAAGCCTCCAAAGAAGGAGCCTCCACCACACTACGGGGCAGAGAGTTCCACTGCTGAACGGCTCTCACAGTCAGGAAGTTCTTCCTCATGTTCAGATGGAATATCCTTTCTTGTAGTTTGAAGCCATTGTTCCTCGTCCTAGTCTCCATAGAAGCAGAAAACAAGCTAGAGAGAGGACAATCACGTATGGTGGGTTGAACCCCTTGAAGACAAAATAAAAGACAATAAAAAAGTTGTATGACCATGTTCTAGAAGCATTTTCTCCTGATGTTTTGCTTGCATCTGTGGCAAGCATCCTCAGAGGTTGTGAGGCAGCCTCTGAAGATGCTTGCCACAGATGCAGGCAAAACATCAGGAGCGAATGCTTCTAGAATATGGCCATACAACCCGAAAAACCTACAACAACCCAGTGATTCCAGCCATGAAAGCCTTCAACAATGCATTAATCAATATGTTGCTTCACAGGGTGATATTGGTTTCTTACCTCCCTAGTCAGATTATATACAAGGCTGTGCATCAATGGAGTACAGTCAACTCGAAGAGTATAGTTTCCTGGGGGGAAAGAGAAAGAATGAATTGTAACTTAATTCTTCTTTGGATTGAATGTGATCTTTTCCCCTCCCAAACATGTTACAAATAACATGTTTTGAACTTTGAGTCTCCTTGTGGAGGGAAAATAATAATAAATATAACAATAAATATAATAAGCATTTTAATAATAATACATCCAATGTATTTTTAACTATGTGATTTTGTTGCTTTTAAACAGATTTTTGCTGCTACTTTGCACTTGCATGAGTGCCTGCACACAGAATTTTGAACTGGCCATGAGTTGACTGACTCCCTGTAAAATTTGTGCTTCTGTAACCTAGACTACTAAATGGTCAAAAGGTTTGGACAAGTCTGGCAGATTCCATTAAGTGCTAGGTAAGAAGAAAGCGCAAAAGCTGGGTTGCAGCTAAACATCAAAAAAACCAAGATTATGGCAACAAGAATGATTGACAACTGGAAAATAGAGAGAGAAAATGTGGAGGCCATGACAGACTTTGTATTTCTAGGTGCAAAGATTACTGCAGATGCAGACTGTGGCCAGGAAATCAGAAGACGCTTACTTCTTGGGAGGAGAGCAATGTCCAGTCTCGATAAAATAGTAAAGAGTAGAGACATCAGACTGGCAACAAAGATCCGCCTAGTCAAAGCCATGGTCTTCCCTGTAGTAACCTACGGATGTGAGAGCTGGACCTTAGGGAAGGCTGAGCGAAGGAAGATCGATGCTTTTGAGCTGTGGTGTTGGAGGAAAGTTCTGAGAGTGCCTTGGACTGCGAGAAGATCCAACCAGTCCATCCTCCAGGAAATAAAGCCCGACTGCTCATTGGAGGGAAGGATACTAGAGACAAAGTTAAGTACTTTGGCCATATCATGAGGAGACAGCAAAGCCTAGAGAAGACAATTATGCTGGGGAAAGTGGAAGGAAAAAGGAAGAGGGGCCGACCAAGGGCAAGATGTATGGATGGCATCCTTGAAGTGATTGGACTGACCTTGAAGGAGCTGGGGGTGGTGACGGCCGACAGGGAGCTCTGGCGTGGGCTGATTCATGAGGTCATGAAGAGTCGGAGACGACTGAACGAATGAACAACAACAACATCCTCCTCAATGGAGAACAAATATCCATGTGCAATGCTATTTCCCTCTCTTTCTCCCACTAAGGAATGTGGTCGACCAGGTCTGCATATAAGAAGGAAATAAAATACAAGGCTGGAATTGGGGAGGGCAGAGATGGAGAGCACAGGGAGCTGATTTCTGCAAAGACCTGAAGTTGCCAAGGGCTCTTCTAGAAACTTCATGGTGGGCAGCAAACTGTAGGGTTAACAGGGATTGGGGAAATAGCTTTGTTGTTAAGCTACAATTCCAAGAATTCTCAAAGTATTACAATCAATGGAACAATGAATAATAATAATAATAATAATAATAATAATAATAATAATAATAATCTTTATTTGCAACCTGCCACCATCTCCCCAAAGGGACTTGGGGCGGCTCACAGAAGCACTCTGAGTGCCACATGCAGACAACAATACATAATTATAAATACAATGATGTAAGTATAATAACAGTGCATAAAATCTCAGTAAAAAAATATAAAAAATTGAAAATTATAAATTTCCTAAAATGCAATGAGTCCTGTTGGCCAGCTATCTGTCGTAACAATCAATCAAAGTGTGGGCCAGTACTATCAATGATTCATCAGATTGGCCATAGATTACTCAGGAACAAAGGCCTGACTGAAGAGCCATGGTTTTAGATTCACCTGGAAGGCCTGATGAGAGGGAGCTAAATCAAATTTCCTTAGGGAGGGTATTCCAGAGCCGGGGAGCCACTACCAAGAAGGCCCTCCCCCTTGTCCCTATCAACTATGCTTGGCACAGAGAGAAGGGCCTCCCCAGCAGATCTTAATGCCTGTGCTGGTTCGTAGAAGGAGATGCGGTTTTGAAGATAGGTTGGCCCCAAAGCGTATATGGGAAATGCATTTTAATTAAAAAAGCTGAAAATGGTAGAAAATATCATCTTTCAGATGAGGAGTAGAAGGGTAGAAGATCAGTTTCATAGAACACCTGGCTCTTTGGCTCTTCTGTTGTTTTCCTTCAATTCAGAATTGGCCTTCACCAATTGTTTTCTTTCTACAAAAGAAATGATCTGGAAGCTCTATCAGTGTAATTAAGTGTTTTGGTGTCAAGTTTGGGTGAGTGCATGTTATGAGCAGGAAATGGAAGCTAGTGGGTTTAGCAATTTTGTGTAGTCTTCAGAGCCTTCAATGCCAGTTTTTAACTAACCACAAGAAGAACCAGCAAGCAACCACTAGAAATTGTCTAATGTCTCTGTCTAGCCCTATTATTATGCTAGTACAGTAAGATTTGTATCTTATAGGTAGGTGTTTTTAATTAATAGGTAGATTAATTATTTTAGCACAAAGATGGTTAAAGTCAGTCTATTTGTGCATACAATCTGTTGTACATAAATATACAAATAAGAAAAGTCATTGGATTGGACTACAACTCCCAGAATCTCCAACAATGTTAACAATTGGACACGTTGCCTGGGAAGATTCTGGGAACTGTAATTTAAGTCACTAACTTATCCAAGTGCTTCAAATGGAAGAATGCCTCTTTTATGCCTTTATTATGCACTTTCCAGAGATATCTCTGTGCCCTAGGCAAAATTAAGAGTAAAAAATGATTTGGCTTGTTTATCTTCATGTAATCCTGAACAATAAAGCAACAAAGCAAATAAATAAATATATATTCAGTTCAAGATCTTGAAAACTCAGTTCCCAGCTAGCTTGTTCAGTGGTGAAATATGCTAGTTGAAATGGTAATTCAAAAACTTTGAGAAGGTCAAAGGCTACCCTTCGCAACCACAACCAAAATAGTCAAATTACTGAAGAAGTGCAACCATTTGCAAAGCAAACCATAATTATGTCAACTTATCTATTACATCATTACTTTCTAGATAAAAGATGGTCTATATTTTACCTTCTATGGAGGAATCAGCATTAATATATGCCACTGCACGCTCCTGTAGTATTTTGACATTTTCCTACAGTGGAAAAAATAGAAAAAACAAATCGATGCTAGTGTCTAATGCCCCCTATAAATTGGTTCACACATGCAATCTCATCATTTGCTAACAAGTGATGATGATGTGGATGGTGATGATGTTGGAGAGTGCTCCATTCCAGATTTAGGTACCACATTGGGTATCTGTAAAAGCCCACCCCATTTGGAAGGCCTGCTGCCAAACTTGGAAATCCCTGAGACCTTTCTACTGTCTTTCCTTTTCTCTACCTCCTTGCCTGTCCCCTCGAAGGTATTCAGTATTGACAAGAGGGAAGTAGTTGATTGGAAATAGTTGAGCATATTGTGCCAAATGAGAAACACAAAGTAAATGACAACAGCATCAATATCAACAAAGAAGTTGTCCCACTTGTTACAAGCCCACTGAGAATGTATCTTCTCACCACTCACCACCCCCAATATCATAGACTCCTTCCACAGTAGATTAACTGCCACCAAGTTGACTTTGATTTCTGGCAACCCATGAATGAGAGCCCTCCAACTCACTCTAACATCAGCCACCCTGCTCAGGTCTTTAATTCATCTGGAATGCATTCTGCCTCTTTTCCTATTGCCTTCTACCTTACCAAGCATGATAGTCTTTTCTAATGAGTCTTTTCATGATATGTTCAAAGCATGATATCCTCAGTCTGTTTCTAGGTTGCCAAAATATAGTGGACTCACCACTGAACGACAATGGCGAGTTCATATGAGGCACAGCTGGATTCGCAAAACAATCACTGTATCTACCCCAGGCATGGGCAAACTTCAGCCCTCCAGGTGCTTTGGATTTCAACTTCCAGAAATCTCAGCCAGCTTACTGGCTGTTAGGAATTGTGAGAGTTGAAATCCAAAATACCTGGAGGGCAGAAGTTTGTCCATGCCTAATCTATTAGTAAACACTTGAAGGATGCAGGATGTATTCCAGAGATTTCTGGAAGCTTCAAAGTGAACCCATAGTTTCTGGGATCTGGACAGCTGAATTTGACCAAATACAGTGGTATTATCCACACTACTAATAATACCACTGTATGTTACCACCAGAAAGCACCTCTCTCCCAGACGCTTGCAAGTGACATTATATTTCTGGTGATATTTCTAGCAATGAGACATGTGATCCGAAATGCAACAAGGCTCTGGAAGACAGCTGCTTCCTGGCAGTGATGCAATGGTGGTAGTAGCTCTGATATGCCTCGGATCATCTGGCATTGTAGATAACCAAAGAGCTCCAGGATGCTTCTGCACTGTATCGGAGCTACTCCAGAGCCCATTACACTGGATGTATCCAATAGGTGTAGATGCATCCTCAGTTTAGCCATCTTAGTTCCTAATTCAAATCTGGTTCCTGCCATGAACATTATGCTTTGGGCAAACCATTCTCATTCTCAGATTCAGCTTACTCCATAAATTTACTCCATCTGCCACTCACGTCCCTCAAAAGATTGTTTTAAAGAGAACCCAATAATTCATACAGACCATTTCAATATACATACAAAGGCTAAGGGAAATTAACAATTTACTACTGATTTACCTCGGCCCATTCTGTTGAGCCTATCAAGCCAAACTCTTCAGCATCCCAGCTGGCAAATATTATTGTTCTTCGAGGCCTCCATCCTAGAGTGGTAATATTTAGAGTACCATGATCATTATGATATTAAAAACCAACAACATACTATCAGAGCATTAAGCTAGCAATCAAGCACTAAGATGGCCTTCTTTGCAATGTGATCCTTTGTAAACATAGGATTTTACCAAAAAGAACAATGCAATTGATGGAGATGAAGTTTTTAAATAAAGAATAAAGCAGTCTTTCCAAAGATTGAAAAGTTATTGGTTCAGGTCACAGGTCCCAGTATCTCCTTGCCAGCATGGAGGAGTCTGAGGTATGTGGCTCAAGCTATTATCTTTTTCCACCTCTGATTCTTGTTTGATTTAAATCTGACATGCCTGGCAAACACATCATTCAGACGTAAACATTAGATCATAATTTTGCACTGCAGAAACACCTGTACCCACATGTCATAGAAACTATGTACACTTAAAGTTATTAATACATTTTGATGAGTTTTCTAATGATATCTGACCTGCTTCTTAAGTGTATTCGAGGTTTTCATTGCCTGACTTATGGTTAAAATTGTTTTGGTACTGCTACTTGTATTACAAATACGGTAAATAAATAAGGTAAATTATTCCATTTGTTTTTATTGTTTCATTTTTCTATTAACTACTTTATTGTTGAATACTTTGAGAGAAGGCAGGATGCCTTTCCACTCTCCCAAACAGATGTATGGGTGCTTCATTCTTTAAGTCTTACCTTCCTGTTTCAGCTTCCCGAAACTTCTGACAATCTCATGAACGACAGCAGCTCCGCTTTGAGGATCAATCCCACCAAACACCCAAGAGTCACGGTGGCCACCAAGGATAACGTACCTGTCTAGCACAATGAAGTTTAGAAATAATTTTGAAATGGGAGTGCTACATTATCACTATTTAGTAAAGATCTTACTAAAAGTCAGACCGATCTAGAGGGAAGAGATAACAAAACATTCACTCCATTTAAAAAGCCTTCCCCTCCAGCTGTACTGGATGGATTAATGGACTAGCTCATTGTTAAAGTGACTTCCCAAATTAGGTTACTTCTTAGGAGGTTACATGTTTTTAGGATTTGGATTGGCACCATTAACCCAAGCTGGTCCTTCAGCTGCAGAGCCTTTCTAGGTTGGGCTGCTACTTTGTCTAAGTGACAACAATCTTCTTGGTCCTGGTGTGTTTCTGAATGGCATCCTCAGTCACCAACGCACAGGGAGCAATGTATAGAAAACCACTTTACATTGAGAGAGGCCATTATTCCATTTGGTACTGACTCTACAGAAGAAAAGCTTTACCTGGCTCTATTGCACCTCGGAGAGTACCAATCACATTGTAGATTCTTCTCACTTCCTTGAAACTGTGGATATGCATTTTGACTTTGCTGATAAAATTTACCAAAAAAATGAAAAAAGGAAAAATAATTAGATTTTTAAAAAATATATCTTTAAAAATTTGATAGCGTAACACTGGAAGAGAATAGATCTGAAACTAAAGTAACTTTAAACTTAAACAAAGAACCTACTTCACTATTATTTTCCAATAGTGGCTGCTGTGTGTTTGGGGAAATGGAATCTTGACTGGTCATAACTTGTCCAAAAATACAGTCAAAGTAAGCATGACATCTGGATGAGTCACCTGATCATCAACAGCTCTGCTAAGATCATACATACTCAAGATTATGGTTTTCTTGTATGAGTCTATTAAAATAACATGTTTAAGATGTTAGTGACAATGGTAAGTTGTTTCAACATCTGAGGTGGGAAAATGTGTGCTGTCCTGCTTTCTTCTCCATTCCACCTGTCTCCTACCTCCTCTCAATCACAAGCCTCCAAAGGCCTCATTCTGAGGGGTATCTCCTTTAGATGACCAGGGAGACCAAGAAAGGCCTCAATTTTAATTATGTGACTTTATCTCTATCAGCCATGTGACAGCACGAGTGGCGCCACCTGTGTGTAGAACTTTAAAGTGCAAAGGTTTAAACTGTGTAACATGCCCAAACTTGCCTAGTTTGTAAATGTATAGTTGGATTGATTGGTTATTTGTAGCTGTCAATCAATGTTGTTTGCACCTGTTAAATTGCTCCTCCTGCTCAATTGTTTGACCCCACCTCTTCCTAGAGAGCAGGACAGTGTTTCCTTTTCCATTCCACCATCAAACTTTCTATCAGATGGATGTGTGAGAGAGACTTGGCTCTGAAGCCCTTGATTAAGTTACCTCTCAGCACCAATTCTGAGATTCTTACCCTTGAGACTTATGCTTCATCTTCAGATCAACCTGGATGATGTTGAGAAGTCTCAAGCACCTTCAAACCAGTTCTTTGGCACCAGAGGAAGGCTTTGTGCCTTCAAAATATTGGCCATTGGAATTGGGGTTGTGATTATTCCGATATTCACAGCCATTGAGAAAGAGGGACCCGGAAAAGCTTCTCAGCTGCAAAACCCCTTGAACCCAAGACAACCAGAGATTGTAATGTATATTTTCCTTTACCCCTTTGAAACTTCCAGCTTATTGCCTTAAAGGGCTAACTCTTTGTGAACAATAAAACCTATTTTGAGTTATCTACAGTGTTTTGGTCCTTGGGAGTTCCAGTTTTCCTAAAGGAGGGCAAGAAGCAATCCCCTGGGGAAAGATGTCACGTCCATGCCTATTTCACTAAAAGATATAGCCCCCAGGCGTGACGACACAAGCCAGTTGGTTAGTTGTTCTAAATCCTGGATAGACAAGCTTTGAAAGGCAGGAGCGGAGATACCAGTTTTTCATCCCCAGGGACACAGTGATGTATTAAGCCCAAGAGGAATGGCATTTCATCTTGTTTGCCAAGGAAGGAAAAAGAAAGAACTAAATAATTCTGTGCGATGTGTTGTTGAAGGCTTTCATGGCCAGAATTACTAGGTTGCTGTGAGGTTTTTTTGGCTCTATGGCCATGTTCCAGTAGCATTCTATGGTATGCTTTCTCTCTCTCTTACCACCCTGACTGGTACATATAGGGAGGAACATAGGATTAATAATAATAATAATAATAATAATAATAATAATAATAATAATAATAATTTTATTTCTTGCCTTCCTCTCTTCGTGGCTCAAGGAGGGTTACAGCATAGTTAACACACATAAACATTGTAAAGATCCTATAAATATACATATTAAAGGTATTTTAATACATAGCAAAACATATTTCTATTAACTGCATATTAAAGCATACATAAAGCCTTCTTGGTGACTGCTTTCCAGTCTGGGAAATTCCCTTCTAGGGGAGTTGGGTAGGTTGGCCTCTTTCTGCTCTTTCTACTAATAGAAAGATACCTCTTTAAGGAAAATAGTTAAAGCCTTCAAGGAGAAGGAGTAAGAAATATATCAGGACTCTACAGTTTTAGAGTGCTGGTGTGGAAATAGGGTTCAAAAGGTTCAAAAGATCTTGTTTGTATTCCTGTGTGTGGAACATTGCTTTTAAGAAACTCAAGTTATAGTACCATTCTCTATAAAAGTAAAGCCTGAGAATTTATTGAAACCACTATGCATCTTTACTGTTCAAGAACAAAATAAACCTCAAATTCTTGTTTTATTTCACCTGAAGAGTTTGTGTGCCTTCTTGAACATTTTGGTGAAGGAGGTGGCCTATGAATCAATGAATGGTGGCAGCAAAAGAAACCTTAACAATAAATTGGTGGCAGCAAAGAAATATATAATATACAGTGGTAGCTTCCCACTGTCCTGCCTCATGTGTGGGTGTCCCTTGTCCACTCATGGCCTTGGCTGGCCATATCTGTCATCCTCATCTTTACTGCACATGGCATTGAATGTTTGGCTCTGTATGTACTGCAAACCATCCTGAGTCCCTACGGGAGAGAGAGAGAGGTCTAGAAATAAAGTACCGCAATTCCGGTATGGATCACAGGCTTCACATCTAAAGTAGAACAAGTTCAATCAGAGTTTCTTAGAAAACTGTTTGCTGTCCCCAGTTGTGTTCCATCTGCTGTTTTAAGACTGGAATCAGGAACAGCCTCACTCGAATCACTGGCTTGGAGAAGGGCCCTAGGATACTGGATGGAGAGGGTGCACAAAGGGCCTGAAGCGGGATATACATATCTGATTCAAAAAGACCTCTTTAAATCCCACCAAATCAAAGCGCTAAATCAGAAACTCAGGCAGATGGGCCTCTCAGAGAACATATTGAGCGGTTTTGAGCATAAAAAGAGAATGCAGATCTTAGCGGAACGAATCAGTGACATAGACAAACAGGACTCAATGACTCTGGTGCGCTCCACATGCTCTCCATTGAGTTTAGGCCTAACATTTAATTCTTTGGGAGGTGCCAAATACTTAGAAAATTTAAACATCCCAAAATTTTGCCTTGCTTTCAGTTGGGCCAGATTCAATGCCCTCAAATCAGCCATACTAGAGGGTAGATACAAAGGGACTGATTACAAACACAGAGTTTGCCCATGCGGGGAGGGTAAAATTGAAACTGTAATACATGTACTTTTTATTTGCACAATTTACAAGGATGATAGACTAAGGTTAATATCCCCTCTACTCACCAAGTGGCCAGGAAGATCCCTAAGTTGGTACTGCACTTATTTACTGTCTGATCTTGATAAAAGGGTAACGGAACAGGTGGCCAAATTTCTGTTTGCAGCGGCAAAAAGCCGCAAGTGCTTCATGAATAACCTGTAAAGGCTGAGTGTAACAAAGAGTACTCGGGAGACTTATTATTAATTTGCAATCAGTTCCTGTTTTAGATTATATAGACAGTCATTCATCCGATAGCGAATGGTGATACTTGTTTTTATTAATTATAAGCCAAATGTGATGTTATTAATTGTTAATTGTTGTATTTCATCATCCTACTTTCACTTGACTTAGCCAATGGTTTGTTGACCGAAATAAAGGCTACTTACTGACTGACTGAGAAATAAAGTATTATAATAATAATCATCATCATCATCATCATCATCATCATCATCATCACAGGAGGCCTTTGGGATACAGAAGTCTCACCCCTCCTCTCAAATTGATCCAAAATTGTATCTTCCCACACACACCTTTTGGAAGCACTTCCTTTAAAGCCAGGACCAACGTTGTAAGACACAGAGAGATTTCCCTTCCAACTGTCATCTGGTGGAGGAGATCCACCCATGTCCCTATTGGAAAAAAGAGAATAATACAAGGTTTTAACAACAACAACAACAACAACAATCTTTATTTATACCCCGCTGCCATCTCCCCAAAGGGGACTCGGGGCAGCTCACATGAGGCCAAGCCCAAAATTACAAAATAAAATACAGATACAGCAAAATAAAACACAAAGAAACAAAATACCATCAAAATGAATACATAACATAATGAAATAAAAATGACATGAAAGAGAAATGGAGGGAAATTTGAGGGAAATCATTCCCTTCAAAAACAACAGCAAATCACAACCAGAAGTATCCACCCCCCCCCCCCCCCCATATTTTCCAACTTTTCACCAATGATAACTGGGACACTCATGGCCAAGCAATACCAGAGTCTGGTGAAACAGGCAAAAGTGACTAATGAGGAAGAACAGACAAGCTAGGCCAGGCTGTAGCAGCTTGCTTCTGCCTGAGCGTGCTGGGAAGGACTTGTAGGAACTGTAAACTGAGGGTGACAATGGAAAATGAGAGGAAGAGAGATCAACTTGGACATTTAAAATGTTGGAAATAGCAACCTTCTACAAGCCTCCTATACTAGTTTATTTGTTATATATGTAATTATGATTGCTTACTATATTGTATGTATATGATTTAGTATGTAGTTTTCCCTTAACTCTATGTTGTTTGAGGTTGTGGGAGGGACTGCAGACCATGCGACCAGATCTGGAACTATTCAAACTGAAACTCCATTTAAGAAGTCAATAAAATAATATTAGATCAGCCCCCTACCTCTTGGCCTTCAGAAAAAAAAAGTAAGAACATGATATGGGATGAAGCCTTCAGATAGTAATGGTAATGCAATAAATGGATATGGAATATGTGCAATGACAACTGAAATGGCTCTGGATTACGATCTTGGACTGCATGGTTTTAATAATTGGTGTAATATTTATATTTTAATCATTTGGGGTTTATTTAATTGTATGTTGTTTTTATGGCATTGAATTGTTGCCTATGTGTAAAGCCACTCTGAGTCCCCCTCAGGGTGAGAAGGATGGGGTACAAATATGGCAAATAAATAAATATATATATTTTGCATCAGTACAGTTTAGAGTTATACTTCAGAAGCAGTACAGTTTAGAAGTCTGTCAGTGTCTGTATGCTGCAGTATATATTATCAGTCCTTATTGAGTCAATGTTCAGTAAGGTATTAGCCTGAAAAGAGTGTTTTAGTCTGTATGCAGCAAAGAGGAGAGCAAAACAGAGTGCATTAGAGAACAGATTGTTTAAACTATTAACCAATAAGAAATTCCTAGATCTAGGGAAGTAATGCTACCCCTCTATTCTGCTTTGGTTAGACCACACCTGGAATATTGTGTCCAATTCTGGGCACCACAATTCAAGAGAGATATTGACGAGCTGGAATGTTTCCAGAGGAGGGCGACTACAATTATCAAGGTTCTGGAGAACAAGCCCTATGAGTAGCGGCTTAAAGAGCTGAGCATGTTTAGCCTAAAGAAGAGAGGGCTGAGAGGAGATATGATAGCCATGTATAAATACGTGAGAGGAAGTCACAGGGAGGAGGGAGCAAGCTTGTTTTCTGCTTCCCTGGAGACTAGGACGCGGAACAATGGCTTCAAACTACAAGAAAGGAGATTCCATCTGAACATGAGGAAGAACTTCCTGACTGTGAGAGCCGTTCAGCAGTGGAACTCTCTGTCCCGGAGTGTGGTGGGGGCTCCTTCTTTGGAAGCTTTTAAACAGAGGCTGGATGGCCATCTGTCAGGGGTGATTTGAATGCAATATTCCTGCTTCTTGGCAGGGGGTTGGACTGGATGGCCCATGAGGTCTCTTCCAACTCTTTGATTCTATGATTCTGTATGCTGAATACATGAAGTTTGTAAGTAAATCACCTATATAACTTTTAACAAAGATTACTTATTTTTGTTCTCTGGAGCATGATTTAAAACCAATATATTTTATGGGAGAGTAGTTGTTTTTTGGGCAATGGAAATAACACTTCTGAAGATCTGCTATATATTTTGTGCATTGGCATGTCTTTGTTCCTAACAGAGAGATAATCGGGTATATCAGTCTAACTACTGAGAAGCCTAATTTGCCTTGTATGAATACTAGTGGATATTTACTAGGCATGGTTAAGTTCGGTCGGAATCTTTGTAATTCGGAATAAATTTGGAAAAATTTGCTTTTTGAAGTGATTTCTAAGTTTTTAAGGAAACCGGAAGTCCCTTTGCCCTTCCAAAGCTTTTTTCGCCATTTCTGTTCCGAAGCAGTAAGTGAGTCAAAATGATTCAGCATTTCCCCACTTCTCTTCCCTGGTCTCGGCTCAAGCCTGGGAAGCCAGGTTAAAGCAGAATTTCCTCCCTTTCCTCCCCCCCCGCTTGTGTCTCAAGCCTGGAAGGCCGTTTTAAACCAGAGTGGATGAATTTCCTCCCTTTCCTCTCCCCTCGCTTGTGTCTCAAGCTTGGAAGGCCGTTTTAAACCAGAGTGGATGAATTTCCTCCCTTTTGCCCCCCCCCCCCTGCTTCTGGAGTAAAACAACTAATTTCAAAGTAAAGACCACCCAATGAAACAGGAAATAACACTTTCAAACCATTAAGGAAGGATTTGGAAGTCTCAAAAAGTTTTGAACATTTTTTCCTGTGAAAATTGGAATTGACTTTAGAATTGAACCACCAGCGCCCCGTACATCTGAAACGAGTTTTGAACCTTTTTTTTTTTTTTTTGGAACAAGCCTAATATTTACCATTCAAAAGGGTATTTAATTCTTCTCAGGAAAATCATACTTTACAAAAGGTTATTATTATTCCAAATAGTGTGAATGCCAATTGATCTCCAAAAGGGACATGCTTCCAAAAGGCTATGGAGATTCCTGATTTTCTAAAAGGTTGTGAGCTCTAGAAGGTCATGCCTTCTCAAAATTAAAAAAAATGTAGAAAAATGGGATGACAGAGGAGTAATTCAGATTGGCCCTGGATTAAGCATCCAGTGTAGACACAACCATAGTTAACAGTGGAACTTGTGATAACTTTACTTTTGAAAAGAGTCCTGTTGTGGTAATTAGGACTGTCTTACATGTAGGGATGTCTAAGAAGGTTCCCCAAAGATTCCCCAAAGGAGAGAACAGAGAAAGAACACTCATGTTCCTATATAAAGAGAGACGGTGTGAACCTTTAAGAAATACATTTGGGAACATGCTCTTTGTTTTCAACTTGAAGCACTCGCTGTTCCTCCTCCCTCCTCCCATAACACTTTTCTGGCTCAATTCAACAACTTCTGAAAACGTTTGTAAGGCTAAGACAAGGAAGAAAAAGTCAGAGAGCATGTGCCAGCACAGGGTGTTCTTTCAAGCATTGTTTTCTGCAGTGACCTTTCTTATATAAGCCTGGTTTTAAAACAAAGGTACTTATTGCAGGCAGGTTAACTACAAGTGGCTCTTCACTTTCTTCTCTTTGAGGATATAATTGTGTCTTCCATTCATACTAAAAATACATGCTCATATACATGTGCATGATGTTTGTGAAGAGTTTAACATGCAATAAATCACAAACTAATAGACACTATAAGAAGAGTGGAATTTATCACAAAGCAGCCCAGACAAAGTGTAGAAAAACAAAGAATTCAGCTTCCCAATAACCCCAGCTTGCTAATAGGTTTAAAAAGCCATGTTTCTAGTCCTTTTGATTGTGATGAATTGGAAGTGGCACCACGAAAACTGTAGACAGGTCCTGTTTCTTTAATAATTGCGGGAAAGTAGGCATTTCAGCAGCATCCCTTGTTACTGTCTGAGGCCCCTTCCACACAACTGTATAAAATCCAAATTGAACTGGATTATATGGCTGTTCTGTCACGCACCGGGCCTGTAATAATTGTCTTTTGAAATAGGACGTGCACCTTGTGCCCAGCGGGAAGCCAGGGTGCCACAAAAGAGGCCCTCAAGGATTTTCCTGAAGAAATGGTCTTTAGATGGCTTGAAAGGTTAAACAAAGTCCTTTATTATTGAACAAATTAAACAGATATTTCTCAAATCTTCAATGAGTCAAACAAATGCTTCAAGGCTTTAAATCAACTGGTGGCTTCCTTAATCTTGTCCACAAGGGACAGGCAACTGTCTTCGTTAATTGTTCTTATACTTTGAGAGGAAACCCTTTTTTAACCTCTCCCAGGCTGTCTGTTATCTACGTTTTGTTGGTGTGGGATCTACTACCAATTCCAAACTGCGTCTTGGTACTGAGTAAACCTACCAGACAAAGCTTGTAGATTTTCCAGCTGGAGTTCTTTGGGTCTGTAAAGCTGTTTTCCCTCTGGAATTTCTTTAAGACTTTAGGGCTGTTTCCCTCAGATGCTGTAAGGCTGAGAGGCTGCAAGCTCCCAGCCAGAGCTTTGGGAATTTCCCCCAGAATGTCTTGAGAAATGAAGCTTTTCTGCAGGTGAAGCTTGTCCATGTCCTCTAACTTAGCTTTCCTCACTAAGACTAACTAAAAATGAACCCCTCTTCCATTCCCATCTCCCTGGGAGAAGGGGCAAATCCAAACTTAACAATGATAGACAGGTGGCTTGCCCTATGACTGCAAATCAAAGGAAGCCACCTTTTTGTAGAATTCCTGAAACTTTGGAATGCATGCAAACACTTAATAGAAAGAAGATAAAGTTGGAGCTACTGGCACAGACGTACCAGCACAATGGCAGTGTGGACTCAGATAATCCAGTTCAAAGCAGATATCGTGAATTATCTGCCTTGATATTCTGAGTTATATGACTGTGTGGAAGGGCCCTATGTGGCAAGAAGTCATTTTGGATTTATGAAATTTCAAAGTTGAGGATTCTTTTTGGCAAGACATGTTCAGAGGGTGTTCATCTTTGCCTTCCTCCGAGGCTAAGAGTATGTGACTTGTCCAACATTTACCACTGGGTTTTGATAGCCAAGTTATGTTGTAGCTCACCACTCAAATCACACTGGTTTTTCTACAGGCTATGAACAATCCACAAATATATTCATGAACTGATGTGACCTTGGGAAAGTCGCACTCTTTCAGCCTCAGAGAGAGGCAGTGGCAAATCTTCTTGCCAATCAATTTCTGTGACAAGATACCATAAATCATAAGTTGTGGAAATCACACTTACCTTAGCAGCTTTTCAGCATCATGATAACCAATGGGGTGGACAGGAATAGATAAACGAGCTGCTGCTTCAGATTCATCGTAGCGGTAAAGGTATTCTGGAGCAAGAAAAGCTCATTTGCATTAGGTCAAATGTTATACGCATACAGACACATACACTTGTACACTGAAATTAAATGTGTGATGATACTTGAATGAAAAGTAACAACTATTGCTTGTAGACAACAACCTCAAACCAACTAAATCGTTGTACCATTGGAATTTACATAACTGTTGACTGAATAGGTTCTCAAGGATTCAATGGTTTTGCTTTAGGTAGGACTAAAAACTAGATTTGGCCATATAAGATACAGGAAGGGTGAACCTCTGTGACCAAAGGAGGCTTCACCACACTTCCAGGCAGTTGTGAAAAGATTGTTACTTGAGACTGTTCACCTTTTGCTGGGTAGCCTGGAGTAAGTGGATCCCCAGCTCCATTCAGGATCAGCACATTTCCACGTTGGGCCCCACCTCCAGGAAGATTCCATCCATCTGGGTACGGATCTACTCCAGGAGCACAGGAGTCAGCGGGGTCAGAGTACAAAATAACACCCTTGGCACCTGCCATTTCAGCATTCTTAACCTAGGGAGGCAAGAATCACATAGTTAAGCTGGGAAACTTGCTAGCACAAGATGTAGTGAGATAAGTGTCCATGTGAAGGGTTTTATAGGGACACTTGAACGATTAATGGACGTTAAAGGCCACAATAACTGTGAATCAAGATAGCTGTGAAGTAATCCTAGTATCAGAGGTACTATCTCTCTATATATATCAGGCACAGAATGTACAATAGAGATTGTGTTGACACCTCATCACACCAGAGCATGGATCCAATATAAATCCAGTTTCTGCCTCCTGCAGAATTCTGGGGTTTGTAGTTTAGTGAGGCCCAGGACCTGCCTGGCTGAACAGTTTAAAGGCTCTTCCCTAAACTACAAGCCCCAGAATTCTGCAGGAGGCACAAAATGGATTTAATGTGGAGCCATACTCTAGTGTGATGAGGTCCCCAACTGGCTGACCACAGTGTGGACATAATGTTGGACTACATAATTCTTCAGTTTGAACCAACATGACTCCTCTTATATTCTTATGTCACAAATTATGGCCTTTGCCAAAATATTTATTACAGTCATATTAAATGGTTGAATGCAGGCATGGGCAAACTTTGGCCCTCCAGGTGTTCTGTACTTCAACTCCCACAATTCCAAACAGTCTACTGGCTATTCGGAATTGTGGGAGTTGAAGTACAAAACACCGGGAGGGCCAAAGTTTGCCCATGCCTGGTTTAATGGAATCTAGTTCATCAGGTCCACCACATTGTTTCCAAAATGCCCAGCCAGATACCTACAGAAAGTCCACCAACTGAGTGCAATAGCACCCTCTCCTACTATTGCTCCCTAGCAACTGGTATGAACTGGCATGGCCCTCTCTTCTTCTCCCCAAGGTTTTCTGTACACTGCAGAATTACACCACTTTAATTGCCTTTCCTCAATGCTATGAAATCCTGGGATTTGTAGTTTGATGAGACACCTACATACTTGACAGAAAATGCTAAAGACCTTGTAAAACTACAACTCCCATGATCTTCCAGTGTGACTGGAAGACTGGGAGATCTTCCATCTTCCATTGTGGCTATGGTCAACCTCCTCTGGAAGTTGACTACAGAGTTGTGCTGGAGGATAGACTTCCTAAAGAGAATATCTCTCTAGGAATACCTAGGTGTTCCAGCTTAACTTTATGTTCAACCTCTGGCAGAAACTGAAACAATAGTTGGACCTGGCAATTCTGGACAGAACACATTAATAAAATTTGCAAATAATCAAATTCACAAAATGTAAACACACAAATGTGGGGGCCACTTGTACTATACTACAACACTTTTTATATTAAAGTGTACAAAAAATAGGGAACATCCATAGATGAATGCATAGACACATTCTGAGATTTGTGTTTCCACCTCATCTCTGATCCATGAATTATTCATAGATAAGAAGAGAGATGGCTACAGTACTATCGTAACTTCACCAAATAGGTCCTCAGTATGAAGAACATAAGATTTATCACTTAGCTATGGCTTTCCCTTCATTATAGTACATTTACATCAAAACATCAAAGCAACATTAACCATTTTAACAAAAAATCTATCTGTGTCCCCAGAGAGCATAGCCCACACATTCTGAGACAGAATATTGTAATTACCTTATTTCCTCTGAAGATTTTCCCATATCTAGCAATGACAATTTTCCCAGAGCAATTAATTCCCATCTCTCGCTCCAGTTTCTGGAAGTCTTCTATGCTGCCATAGTTCACATATACCAGATCTCCCTGGAGCGTTGAAAGCAGAATGTTAAAAGATGTGCAAAAAAAAGATCTTCTTGGCTTCATTAGAGGACCCCATGGGAGCAGATAACTGCCCAGAAACACTGGAGCTAAGAAGTAAAGAAGGAGCAAAGCACATTTATCTTCACCCACAGGGACTCATGGTGATTTATAGAATTAGACTTAGATGGTCTTGTTTATTTCAACACTACCCTCCAGAAGAAACCAGAAAAATCTGAAAATTCATTGTGCATATTTCTAAATTTTTCAGATTTGCACACACACACGAAACACATTCCAGAATGTCATTTCCATGTCAATAGAAGTTTTAGTCTGAGTTTACTGTGCATCTACACTTAAATTAATGCAGCTCAGCACCACTTCAAATGTCAGGGCTCAAGGCAATGGAACCCTGGAAGGAGTAGTTTTCCAATATCTTTAGCCATCTATGCCAAAGAATGTTGATGCACACTACAACTCACATGATTCCATAGTGGTGGTGTCAAAGTGGTGTCAAACAGCATTATTCCTATGGTGCAGATGCATCCACTATCTGGTATTGGTTTTGGGGTGTGACAAAGTACAAATCAGTAGCTCCATTACTATACAGAGGAAATATTCCAGAGGTGGGTAATAGCTTTTTAGGGCAAACCCACATGTAAGAAAAGCTTTTATGTTTTTTATTAGGCTCTGCTGCCCTGGAGACTAAGGCTCGGAGCAATGGATTCAAATTACATTAAAGGAGATCCCACGTGAACATTAGGAAGAAAATCCTGATTATGAGAGCTGTTCAACAATGGTTCTCTCTGCCTTGGAATCCATTGGAAGCTCCTTTTTGGAGGCTTTTAAACAGAGGCTGGATAGCCATCTGCAGGGAATGTTTTGATTGTGCTTTTCCTGCATGGCATGGGGTTGAACTGGATGGCCCATGTGGTCTCTATGAAAAGAGCAGGAGATGGGGAAGAACCAAGAAGGTCCCTAAATGAGGCAGATTCCATTAAAATTGTAAAGTTCTCTAAGGGGTGCTAAGCCAAAGCAAAACTTAAGACAGGGTTGCTGTGAATTTTCCGGGCTGTATGGCCATGTTCCAGAAGCATTCCGTCCTGACATTTCACCTACATCTGTGACAGGGATCCTCAGACGTTGTGAGATCTGTTGGAAACCAGGCAAGTGGAGTTTATATATCTATGGCATGTCCAGGGTGGGAGAAAGAACTCTTGTCTGTTTGAGGCAGATGTGAATGTTGCAATTGGCCACCCTGATTAGCATTAAATAAACTTGCAGCTTCAAAGTCTGGCTGTGTCCTCCTGGGGGAATCCTTTGGTGGAAGGTGTTAGCTGGCCCTGATTGTTTCCTGCCTGGAATTCCCCTGTTTTTTTTAGTGTTGCTCTTTATTTACTGTCCTGATATGAGAGTTTTTAAATACTGGTAGCCAGATTTTGTTCATTTTCATGGTTTCCTCCTTTCTGTTGAAATTGTCCACATGCTTGTGGATTTCAGTGGCTTCTCTGTATAGTCTGACATGGTGCTTGTTAGAGTGGTCCAGCATTTCTGTGTTCTCAAATAATATGCTGTGTCCAGGTTGTTTCATCAAGTGCTCTGCTATGGCTGACTTTTCTAGTTGAAAGCCTTTGACAACACATAGAACTTAAGGTAGTTTAATTTAGTAGTAGTAGTAGTAGTGAGAAAACAAGGACGCAGCAACAGAAGAGATGATAAGGTATCTCAAAGAGATTAGGACCAGTTCCTGGGATTTCATTTATTTATATTTGACTCCCTCCCACCTCCTCTCTCTCTATATAGAATTAAATATATAATTTCTGACTTCTCCAGTTTGATTTTATTCTTGGACTAAAGTTCTTCATTTTATTGGGATTCACTGTTACCCATTGGTTCACATATCCATGATGTCTGGGAACATATCCCATACATCCATGAAGTCCGGATACAGGGCCATACTGGACTTAGAAATTCAACAAGCAATTTGAACAAGAGCAAAACCACTGAATTAATAGAGTTTTCATGAACTGACTTACCATTCAAAAATTGATTCAATATGTCTAGACTAGTTTGGATTAGTAATTGAATTGAGGACAGTCAGGCCCCTTCCACACAGCTGGATAAAATCCCATGCTTTCTGCTTTGAACTGGAATATATAGCCGTGTGAACTCAACCCAGTTCAAAGCAGATATTGTGCGATTTTCTTCTTTTAGATTCAGGGTTATACAGCTGTGCGGAAGGACAATGAAATGAATTAACTACTTAAGGTTAGTACTACTGTTTGCAATAAGTGCTGTCATATTGTCACATTTCTGATTGATTCTTACCTCTGGCATTCCCTGGGCTGAGAAAGCACTGTAAGGAGGCACCACATTTTTAATCTTTTCATACCCTGGAGGTGGCGGCTCAAACAATGAGGTATTGAAAATCTAGGTGAGATAGAAGCAGAAGGGGAGGCAGCATATGAAAAGCAAATCTGATTCATTAAAATTTCTAGCAATGCAATGATTAGAGTTGGGATTGCAGATCTCATCTAAGAATGAGAGAACCTGGGTAGCACCAGGCAGTCTATTCTAGCCTTTGGAATGCTGTGAAGATGAGTGACTGGGGAATAAGATCTGTAAACTTGTCTGTTAAAGAGTTAGATAGAAGGGTTATCGTCATGGACCACAAATCTCAAAACAGGTCAAAAGTTGCTCCTGGGTGTTCAGGAACTTTTGGCCCTTAATGCAGGGAAAGAACGGTTAACCTGATTTTACTCATGATAGCAGAAGTTGGTGAATGCTTTCCTAAAATGCTTTCCCCACACTTTGAGGTTGGTGCAAACAACAGGACTGATTCTAATTCTAATTCAGAAATGTCTCACCGAACACATATGTCAGTGCCACCATCCTGTTTTTCCCGTGCTTCACAGATCAAAGAGGATAGCACTTCCTTCTGCATCATTTGTCACCACAGTCATGGCCACTGAGCTCTGGACTATCGCTGGGCATCTTTGCTGATGTCAGTAAAAGCTTCTCTCCTCTCTCCTCTCTCCTCTCTCCAAGTTACATTGGCAATGGTGCCCAGTGTCTGACCTCACAAACTCTGAGGATGCTTGCCATAGTTGCAGGCGAAACATCAGGAGAGAATGCCTCTAGAACATGGCCATATAGCCTGAAAAATCTACAAGAACCTAACTTATTTCCATGAATTTATGCTTTTTGTTCTGGAACAGCTGTTCTAGGAGCTCCAATTTTGTTTGCTTTGCATTGAATGTTTGTTGTAGTCCTAAGTTTCAGGGACTCTGCAGATAGGTGGCTTCTTTTGGCTGCAATCATAGGGCTAACCACCTGTCAATTATAGTTAGGTTCCCTGGTCCCACCCCCTTTTGGGTTTTTGGAGGGAATAGGAGCCTTTTTGGGTTCAGTCCACACAGAGAAGCTTCCATGCAGGACATAATTTCAAGAGCTCCTGTAGAAAGCTTTGTCTTCTACAGCTTGGCCGGGGAGATATACAGCCCACGGCTTGGCCGGGAGACATACAGCTCTACAGCTTGGCCGGGGTTATACAACCCTACGGCTTGGCCAGTGAGATATACAGCCTACAGCTTGGCTGGGGAGAAAAGGCCCCACAGCTTGGCTGTGGATTTTGCAGCCTGACTTCAGCCAGCCATCACAGCAACCTGAACTCCTTTTTCCCTGGAAGTCTACAAAGCTCTGCCCGGTAAGGGTCTCTTGCGGAAGCCAGAAGCAGTTGGTACCGGGTGCAGGGGCTCCACACCAACAGAGGCAAGTACAGACTGCCCAGATTAGAAGTTAAGGATTTTCCCATTAGTTAGTATACAGTTATGAAGATAGTGCCTGTTCCCAGTGAACAAGATTGCAAAAGCCAATAGACTGTTAAGAAAGCTTTAAAATACCTGTTTGTTTTCATCAATAAAGAACTTTGTTGGACTTACTTTAAGCCTCTACAGAACTTTGTTTTGGGGAGGTCCAAGGGCCTTTAATCTGAGGCAGCCCCGGCGTCCCGTTGGGTACACAGAATTTGTGTCCTGTCTACAGTCATATACACAAGGCCCTGCGTGCGACAGCACACTTTTCTTCCTGCAAAATTTGTTGACTAAGAAGAGTGAGGAAAAATTTCTCTCCTTTACCTCATTTCCATGCTCATCAAGAATTGAGATGTAATTGGGATTTGTCTCATTTGGGTAAGAAAGCAGAACGTCGTAAGGAGCCAGGTGAACTGAGTCCAGGCCAAATGCCTCCCACTGGGCTTGTATTTGTTCAGCCAGGTGTAGATTCTCCTGTGTGCCAGCCAGGTGAGGCTGCTGAGTGAAATTACTAGAAGAGAGAGACAAGTGTGTTATTTATTGGAACATGAAAGTTCTATCCATTGTTTCATTAGATTTGTTTCCAGTTTGAAACTGGAGTTTGAAATTTTAGTAAGATAAAGTAGTGCCTGTGCCCAACAAAAGAGGTCCTCCCTTGGAATTTTCTAAGTCCTCCAGGTGATGCTATAGTATACTTCCACTGAACATTACCATAGATTTGCCCTGGTGGACCTAGCAAATTTCTAGAGAAGATCTCTTTCTAGGATTGTTTTGATCCTCCAGTTTGACTCTATGGTAACTTCCAGCAAAAGTCATTCATTTCAATAGGCTTCAGTGTAATCCACAGTTTTCTGCTTCCATAGTAAGTTCAGTACTGTTTCACCTGTTGATACGGAGGTCATACTGTATTTCTAAAAACTAACTTTAATGAAAAGAAAGAACTTTTCTGAAGTAGAACACCAGATCGGCCAACTGTTCTGTTTTGGTAGGGACAGTCCCAATCAAGCCCTCACTCTCCCATTTCTTTTGAAACTTGTTCATCATTGGCAGAAATGTATCCAATTGTCTGGTGATTACATGAAAAATTGAATAGTGGTAGTTTATTTATTTATTTATTTATTTCGGTTGCTTCTACCCCGCCCTTCTCACCCGGGGGGGGGGGGGGGGGACTCAGGGCGGCTTACAAAAGTGAGGCACAATTCGATGCCCGCATCACATAATAGCAAAAGACAATAACATCAGTTAACGAAGACAGCAATTCTAGTAATAACAACAATTAACAGAAACAATAATTATTATAGGCAAAAACAACCATAAAACCAATAAAAGCAATAAAACCAATACAAACCTCATTGACGGTCAGCATTTCACAGTCTCATAGTTTAAATTCCAATTCCACAATTGTCAGTCCTTTCAGTCCTATCCATCTGGTTTCCATATCTAATTGTCAGGTTGCCCAAAGGCCTGGTCCCACAACCACGTACGTCTTTACCTTCCTCCTGAAGGCGAGGAGGGATGTTGATGCTCTGATTTCCCCCGGGAGTGAGTTCCACAGGTGAGGGGCCACCACTGAGAAGGCCCTGCTCCTCGTCCCCACCAGCCTCACTTGTGATAACGGTGGGGTCGAGAGTAGTTAAAGAGGACATTCTAAGAATTATTTCTGCATTTGATTTATTAAAATATTCCCATCCAAACCCAAGTAATGAAGGTGGAGGCATTACTTTTCATTCAACCCTCGTCTGAATAACTAAAGAATGAGGGGCTTTTCATAGATGCACAAGGGGAAGGGAAGCATGTAGCATGGTATCAAGCTCCTGCAACCTTCTTCTTTCCAGATATATTACACTACAGTTTCCATTATTCCCAAACCAGGAGACGAAGAAAGGAGAAACGAAGTAAGATGGGAATGGTAGTACAACATCTCTGGAAGCAATTCTGAAATCTTCTCGTTAATTAAAAAGCAAATTCGGCTGAAGGCAGTTATAATTTGAAAGCCCCAATTGGCCTACTTAATTAAGACACACACACCTATTTTCCCCAATCATTTAAATGCCATTTTCCTTCTGTAATTTAAGATTTATGTTGGCTGTTTAGGGAACAAAATGAGTCTCTGCTTTCCCCTTGTTAGCTTCTAAAATATGTAACATGCCCTCAGAGATATTGCAGCCTTGAATGATTGAAAGAATGAACGAAATAGAGAGAGAGAGGCTTCAAAACTCAATTTCAGTGCTGCTTAATGACCACAAAATGTATAGAGCTGACAGTGGGTAGACAAATTTCAAGACATTAGAAATCATGACTGGAACAGTGGCTTTGTTAAATCGCTAATAATTCTGTGACATAGTATTTTTCCCCACCGGAAAAGTGTGCTGTGCTCTAGCATTCTGAATAATAGCAGTGGCATGGATGAAAAACCAGCTGATGTTGTAATTACAAGTCAGCATAATTGCAAGTCAGTGTATTGTAAGCCATTTTAGCACTATACAGAGTATGTAGCCAAATTAATCTTAGAAAGTACCATGGACTCAATAACTGATGTTTTCAAGATGCTGTAAAACGGGTACAGGTCATGAACCGGTGCTTGGCCGCTGTCTCGGACTGGATGAGGGACAACAGATTGAAACTAAATCCAGACAAGACAGAGGTACTCCTGGTCAGTCGTAAGACCGAACAGGGTACGGGGTTACAGCCTGTGCTGGACGGGGTCACACTCCCCCTAAAAGCTCAGGTACGCAGTCTGGGAGTTCTCCTGGATTCATCGCTGAGCCTGGAACCCCAGGTCTCAGCGGTGGTCAGGGGAGCTTTCGCACAATTAAAACTTGTGCGCCAGCTGCGTCTGTACCTTGGGAAGGCTGACTTGGCCACGGTAGTACACGCTTTGGTTACATCCCGCTTAGACTACTGCAACGCTCTCTACGTGGGGTTGCCTTTGAAGACTGCCCGGAAGCTGCAGCAAGTCCAACGCGCGGTAGCCAGATTACTAACGGGGGCTGGGTACAGGGAGCACACCACTCCGCTGTTACGCCAGCTCCACTGGCTGCCAATTAGCTTCCGAGCACAATTCAAAGTGCTGGTGTTGACCTATAAAGCCCTAAACGACTCCGGCCCTGTTTACCTCTCCGAACGTATTCTCCCCTACGTACCATCAAGACTACTAAGATCATCTGGAGAGGCCCTGCTCTCGGTCCCACCGGCCTCGCAAGCGCGCCTGGTGGGGACGAGGGACAGGGCCTTCTCGGTGGTGGCCCCGCGACTCTGGAACTCTCTCCCTCTGGAGGCCAGAACCGCCCCATCCATCCTAACATTTAGGAAACGGGTGAAGACGTGTCTGTGGAGTCAGGCCTTCGAGGAATGAGACAACACCATAGGACTCTGGATGGAAGTGGATATAGATCCATCTTAATAGGATGACTGACCACTGTAGTTTTATATTTAGTGTATTTTAAAGTTGATGTGTAATTTGTGATATATGATATTTTAATGAATGTATATGTTTTTATGGCTGTAAACCGGGCTGAGTCCCTCAACGAGGTTGAGAAGCTCGGTATACAAAACTGTGAAATAAATAAATAAATAAATAAATAAATACTAGTCAATGCAAATGGAATTTCTAACCTCAAATGCCAAAGGGTCTTATTATTTTCCCTTTGGATTTCCCCTTTTGTTTTGCACAGAAATGATAGATGCACCCCATCTAAATGCATACCCCCAGTGGCACAAGGGGTTAAACCCTTGTGCAGGTAGGACTACTGACCACAAGGCCAGCAGTTCGAATTCAGGGAGCAGGGTGATCTCCTATCTGTTAGCTCCAGCTTCCCATGAGGGAACATGAGAGAATCCTCCCATAGGATGGTAAAACATCCGGACATCCCCTAGGCAATATCCTTGCAGATGACCAGTTCTCTCACACTGGAAGCAACTTGTAGTTTCTCAAGTCGCTCCTGACACCCACGCATAGAATCATAGAATATAGAATCATAGAATCAAAGAGTTGAAAGAGACCTCATGGGCCATTCAGTCCAATCCCCTGCCAAGAAGCAGGAATATTGCATTCAAATCACCCCTGACAGATGGCCATCCAGCCTCTGTTTAAAAGCTTCCAAAGAAGGAGCCTCCACCACACTCCGGGGCAGAGAGTTCCACTGCTGAACGGCTCTCACAATCAGGAAGTTCTTCCTCATGTTCACACACACCTCTTTGTGGAACTCTCTGCCCCGGAGTGTGGTGGAGGCTCCGTCTTTGGAAGCTTTTAAACAGAGGCTGGATGGCCATCTGTCAGGGGTGATTTGAATGCAATATTCCTGCTTCTTGGCAGGGGGTTGGACTGGATGGCCCATGAGGTCTCTTCCAACTCTTTGATTCTATGATTGGAAGTACAACCGACCCTTCACATTTGCTGGGGTAAATCTATTGTACCTGGGAAAATAATCTTTTAGGAATCTCAGAGGAAGGCAAAGCAAATCCCCTAGGTCACCAAAAATTGGAAATGACTTCAACAACAACACCAACAACAGAAGGAAGAGGAACAATATCTGGGACTTTTCAATCAGTCTGGATGCCCAGTTGATCTTGTTTTCACCCTTGCCTGTTTTCACCCTTGCTGTTGCAGGTATCCTGTAGCCTTCCAGATATTGTTGGAGATCTAACCAGACTTATTGATGACAAGGGATGCTGAGATTGCAATCCAACAACATCTGGAAGACTGCATTGTTCCCATCCCTGCTGTATTGGGGAGTCAAGACAAAAGAAAACAGTGTGTGTACCACTGACAATAGAGTCTCTGTCAGACTACTTTCATGCCACTCTGTCACACCACATTAGCTTTCTGAAAAGCTATTATCTTTTTCATTCCAATGACTCCATATGATTGAGTCATGGAAATTAAAGTGGTGTTACACTACATTAATTCTACAGTATGGATGCACCCTAGGACCCTGGGAGAACAGGATTTGAATCTCTGCTTAGTCATGAAAAACCCACTGGGTGACTTTGGTCAAATCATACTCTGTCAATCATAGAGGAATGCAAAAGCAAGTTGTCTCTGAACAAATCTTTCCAAGAAACCCGACAACAGGTTCACCCTAACAAACTGGAAATGACTTGAAAGTCCATGACAATTACTACTACAACAACAACAAGGTGATGGCAAGCCTCCTGTGAATATACTTTGCCAAGAACACCCTCCAAAATGTTTGCCATAAGTAGGAGTCAACTTGAAGGCACATAGCAACCATGATATAAAATTCAAAGAAGAATGAGTAGTCCCTCTGTGTGTGTAAACACCATCAAGAGGATCTGTTTCACTTACTATAAAAACTCCTTGATGTTCTCTGCTTTCATTTCTCTCATAAATGCTCTTTTCATCTTCTGATGAGAACATGTCTTTGCTGATTGATCTGTATTACTCAGCCAGCCTGGTAGACAGAAAAAATGGATGATTATCCCAACAGGATATATGACAGGCAACATATGCAAAAACCAATTTACAGAGTTTATTACAAGACAATGGACTTTTCATTTTTTGCACAGGCACACACTTATTCCCAAACTTTTTGCTAGCAAAGTGACCCCAACATGCTCTGAAGAATCCATGTATGTTTTAAGGATAGACTCCAAAGGAGGAGGCCATCTCCACATGATCTGTGCATGATTCAGTGCTCTGCACTTCTCTCCTCAGAAACAGGACCAAAAGTTTTACATCAGAGATAGGAAGAGCCTGAATATCATAGAGGTACCCAATCCCTGTGTTCATGGAAGCTAAGTAGAGTCAAATTGAGCTAGTACTTAGGGAATCCAAGATGGAATGTGTCTACAGAAGGACAGCCAAAGTGGGCAAAGTTCTGGAAGCCAATTCTGATGAGGAATGTTATAGGAGCTGGTTATGTTTAGACTGAAGAAGAGAAGGTCAAGAGGGAAGATGATAGCTCTGAATAGTGTAAAATTGTGCTGGAAGACTTAACAATGCCTAGAGAAATGTTCTCTTTAGGTTTCCAGCACAAATATGTAGGTCAGCTTCCATCAGGACTTCCACCAGAAGCTGGCCATAGAATCTCATTGGCTGCTGCAATCACATCCTGCAGTACTGGTATCTTATTGGATTCTTGGAACTTTGAGGCAGTGCATATGTGTCAAAAGGAATATATAATTTGTTGTATAGTTTTAATATATTCTATCTAGTTTTATATACATGGACTTATTGTCATTATGTTTGCAATATTTAATTATAGCCTGCCTCATAGAAATCCAGCAGTATATAAACATTCTAGGAAAAAAGACAATTCTTTCATATTTTTTTGTTTGACTTGGTGAGAACTCTGGCTACATCACATTTGTGTACTGTAAATCACCTACTATGTAGTTACACATTTACTGAATAACCCATTGTACTGAATAACAATGCATCAATAGGAGCATAGTGTCTAGATCTAGGGAAGTAATGCTACCCCTCTACTCCGCTTTGCTTAGACCACACCTGGAATATTGTGTCCAATTCTGGGCACCACAATTCAAGAGAGATATTGACAAGCTGGAATGTGTCCAGAGGAGGGCGACTAAAATGATCAAGGGTCTGGAGAACAAGCCCTATGAGGAGCGGCTTAAAGAGCTGGACATGTTTAGCCTGAAGAAGAGAAGGCTGAGAGGAGATATGATAGCCATGTATAAATATGTGAGAGGAAGCCACAGGGAGGAGGGAGCAAGCTTGTTTCTGCTTCCTTGGAGACTAGGATGCGGAACAATGGCTTCAAACTACAAGAGAGGAGATTCCATCTGAAAATGAGGAAGAACTTCCTGACTGTGAGAGCCGTTCAGCAGTGGAACTCTCTGCCCCGGAGTGTGGTGGAGGCTCCTTCTTTGGAAGCTTTTAAACAGAGGCTGGATGGCCATCTGTCAGGGGTGATTTGAATGCAATATTCCTGCTTCTTGGCAGGGGTTGGACTGGATGGTCTACGAGGTCTCTTCCAACTCTTTGATTCTATGATTCTATGAATAAAGCCCTATACTCTTCAGGTGCAACCTATCTTTGAGACCGTATGTCCATCTATGAACCGGCACAGGCATTAAGATTTGCTGGGGAGGCCCTTCTCTCAGTCCCACCACTGTCTCAATCATGGTTGGTGGGAACGAGAGAGGGAGGGCCTTCTTGGTGGTGGCTCCTCAGCACTGGAATATCCTCCTTAAAGAAAATAAATTCGCCCCCTCTCTTCAGTCCTTCTGGGTGAGTTACAAAACATTGCTCTTCAGACAAGTCTTTGATCCTGATTAATCCATGGCCAACGTGATGAATCATTGATAGTACTGGCCCACACTTTGATTGCTTGTTACGACAGATAGCTGGCTTACCTGCAGGTTACACTGCGTTTTAGAAATTCTATAATTTTCATACTTTTATAATTTTATCAGTGAGATTTTTATGTGCTGTTGATTATACTTCTATCATTGTATTTTTACATGTATTGTTGTCTGCATGTGGCTCTTGGAGTGCTTCTGTGTGCCACCCTGAGTCTCTTTGGGGAGATGGTGGTGGGGTGCAAAGAAAGATTTCTTATTGCTATTATTGATGCATGCCAAAGGGTAAAACTGGATGTACAATCAGACAATGTGAACACATACATGTGTGCTCAGATGAGAGGCCACATCCATATGTGCAATGTCACTTTCACAAGTATTAAAGTGAATGCAACATTTTGCATTGGACACCAATATCCAATAGCTTGTATAGGGAAACTTACACCACTTGTGAAGAACTCTGGATACTGATAGCAAATAATACAACAATAGGTACCCCAACAAAAAGTTGCAGTGTGAAGAGCTGCCTATTGAGGATTCAGTCTTTTTTTAGTCCACATCTTCCCTTCTCTTCCATTGCAAGAGATATGCAGTATTCCATGAAACGTGGACACCCTGAGTCCTCACTAGGCTATGGAGGGGGCCAAGGGAAAGATTTGCTTCTGTAAAGAGTTTTGTACTTGTGTAAATTTCCTGATGTTTGCTGAAAGTTTTCCCTGTGGGTTGATGGGCTATGCAAACAATGCTCACAGACCTGAATGTTAGGAATAATGAGGGGGAAAGAGGAGATGATAACAACAAAAAAAAATTCCTCTAATCTTAACAGAGAGGAGAGAAAGTGTTCTAGCCACAAAAACTATACAATTAATGTGTCGTTAACAGTTATAGACTAAGGGTGCATATGGACCAAATACCTTGAGGTTCTGTGACATCCACATGACCCACAGAGTCATCTCACTCCCAACCTGGGACACATTTCCTTGACTTGGTTGTGCCCCAAAGAAGACAAACCAGGAAATGCTCCAAAGCTCTTCCAAAGCTCTATAACACTCACATTTCAAAGTACGTGTGAACAGTTTGGCCAGCGCTAATTTGTAATGACCCCACTATTCACATGGCCATCCTGCTTTCCCTTCCTTTGCTAATGCCAGGAAATGTGATGGCTATGAGCTCTGGGTTCGGGCCAACTAAACAGTGCAGACTCTGCTCCTGCCACTGATGCAGCTTGGGAGCAGAGCTATGTAAAAGCAGAATCAGTGCAGAATTTTTCAGGCTAGTCCCAGGGTTTCCTGCTTATGAAGATGCACCCTCACATAACACATAACTGCCGAAAGGTTGGGGGTTCAAATCCGGAGAGAGGGGTGAGCTCCTGTCTGTCAGCTCCAGCTTCTTGTGCGGGGACATGAGAGAAGCCTCCCACAGGATGGTAAAACATCCGGGTGTTCCCTGGGAAACGTCCTTGCAGACGGCCAATTCCCTCACACCAGAAGCGACTTGCAGTTCTCAAGTCGCTCCTGACATGAAAATAAACAACAAAACATGATTACAACATAACATAAGATCAGAAATCAACTTTCAGCTCAGTCCACTGCATTCAAAGAAGTTTCTACCCAGATAAAACTCACATAAACATCGTCCAAAACTTCCCTCCCAATTACAAATAGTCATGTACTATGGGGAAATGACAATTTCAAACAAAAAGAGATACCCTTTCTTCCTTGTTTTTTGGCTTCATAATCTATCACACAAAGGTACTGTGCTTCTATATCCATAAGGTTCAGTTTAAACTTCATCATTTCTTGGTACTGAAAGACTTCCTTTTCTTTTCCATACTTTTTAAGCAGTTCTTTTTGAGTCTGACTGTGCAGATTAGTGAATTCCATAAATGCTTTGCCTGTCTCAAAGCCTCTTGTGAGTAATATTTGCTGCGAGGGAGAAGACTGTAGTTTTTCTGGGTTCCTCAAAAATATATATAAGAAGAAAGGAGAGTGAGAAAGAAAGAAAGAAAGAAAGAAAGAAAGAAAGAAAGAAAGAAAGAAAGAAAGAAAGAGAAAGAGGGAGGCAGAGAAGGAAGGAAGGAAGGAAGGAAGGAAGGAAGGAAGGAAGGAAGGAAGGAAGGAAGGAAGGAAGGAAGGAAGGAAGGACATTTGTATTATCCTTTAGTAAAACAATGTATCTCAATATCCTTACTCAAAATAGAAAGAAAAATGGTCTGGCCCTCAACAATCTTTGGGAACAGAACTCTCTCCTTAGAATGTGGAATTCATTTTCCTGACAAAAGGAATGACAAATCACACACACATGCATCCCCCACTCATTGTCTACAAACAGTGTTTTAGCAGATCAAAAGTTGGCACGGTCTGACGGATACCGATAAGGAAGCCAAGCAGGAACACGCCGACTACCAGCCCCACAGCCAGCACCCAGAAGCGTCTCCGGCTGCCACAGGTGGTGCCCCCAGTGAAAGTGGGTTCGGTGGCAGCTTGCAGAGTGGTCCACATCCTTTCTGCTCAAGTGTTTTCCCCAAGCTTTGCTTTCAGGCTGATCCCCTCCAATCCTTGTAACAAGAGACACACACAAGCAACACACACACATTCCATTGAAGGGGGCGAAGTCCTCCTCACTCCTTTTGCACAGATCTCAGCTCCTCCCACAGGCAATGCAGATGAGAGAAGACGGATCCTTCTGCAGGCCAGGCTCCAAGCGTTGATCCCATGCCAAAGCTCATGGCCTGGCACTGCCATGCCTTTGTTCACAGGAGCCGAGTGACAGGTGCCTTCAGAAGCTGAGGCAGAGCTTGAAAAGTCTGCTTTCTGAACTGAAATAGTAAGATACATCATTCCAAGCCCTATCAAAAGTAGTTAGCTTCCATTATAGTTACAAATAGTTACACATCTCTCATTGGCCAAGATGTGGGATCATACTGGCACAATGGAAAGCCACACAAACATAGGGGGTGCATCTGTACTGCAGAATTGAATCCACGGATGCAGAATCCATGGATTTAAAGCAGTGGTTCTCAACCTTTCTAATGTTGCGATACCTTAATACAGTTCCTCATGTTGTGGTGACCCCCAAACATATTTTTTTTTTCATTGCTGCTTCATAACTGTTATTTTGCTCCTGTTATGAATCATAATGTAAATATCTGATATGCAGGATGTATTTCATTCACTGGATCAAATTTGGCACAAATGCCCGATATGCCCAAATTGGAATACTGGTGGGGTGGGGGTTGATTTTTTTTTCATTTGGGAGTTGTAGTTGCTGGGATTTATAGTTCATCTACAATCAAAGAGCATTCTGAACTCCACCAATGATGGAATTGAACCAAACTTGGCACACAGAACTCCTATGACCAGGAGAAAATATTGGAAAGGTTTGGTGGGCATTGACCTTGAGTTTTGGAGTTGTAGTTCACCCACATCCAGACAGAACTGTGGACTCAAACAATGATGGATCTGGACCATTCTACAAATGTTGTTATACAAATTATTGTTTTACACCTTCAAGATTTTACACATCTTTGGTGATACTGCAGTTAAATTTTGATAAAGGGTTTTTTTCCTGTGATTCTATCAAATGTGAACACTGTTGGAGTTTAGGGAAAATAGACCTTTCAATTTGGGAGTTTTAGCTGCTGAGACTTATCGTTCATCTACAATCAAAGAGTCCCTTGAACCCCATTAATGATAGAATTAGGCCAAACGTCCCACACAGAATCCCCATGACCAACAGAAAATGCTTAAGGGATTTGGGAGGAATTGAGAGTGATTTAGGGGAGATGTAGTACACCTACACAATTGGGTGCACAATGTCTGAGAGCAGGAGGAGGACTTTTGGTGGGAGGATTTGCTGTCTGTTTCCAAAAAGAAGGAAGACAGGCGGAGAGATTTTCAGCCTTCTCTGCCAAAAGGGTTCCTAACAGCATCAGAAATATGTGTTTTCTGATGGTCTTTGGTGACTCCTCTGACACCCCTCATGACACCCCCCCCCCAGGGGTCCTGACCCCCAGCTTGAGAAACACTGATTTAGAAGGATGATTGTACTTTCAAGGCACTGTTCTGCACTATTCAAGAATCTACAACTGTATGGCTGGAATCCTGTTGGTTAAGCCAAACAAAAGGAGACCTGTTGCATCAACTGTGAAGCAAAGCCTTGTGAGGAGCACCTTAGGGAGTTGGGTATGTTTACCTTGGAGAAGAAAAGGTTAAGAGAGGGCAGGATATGTTTACATATTTGAAAGAATGTCATACTGAGGAGAGGTCAGGCTTAGTTTCTGCTGCTTTAGAGACTAGGGGCCTCATTCCATGAGGCGGAGAAAGCTGGGGGAAATCGTCTTCTTATTAAAGCATTTTGTTCCATTCTGTTTTTAATAAAAATTAATAATATTTTCAACCGCATCATACACTATGTATGTTGACCTTTTGTATTGTTATCCTCCACATTATGAGCTATCACTTAGGCAAGAGTAGTCCTCGCCCATTCCGCATTCTTGTTGTTCTTTCTCTCTCTCTTTTTTAAACAAAAACTTTGCAATTGTGGAAGTCCAAAATCTACTTCTAAAAAAAGAGAAAATAGTCACAGTGAAGTGGTCATATATCAAATTGCGCAGTTCCTGAAGAATAAACTATTTTAAAGAAATTGCTGCAAAAGTGTCATGGAAGAAGATTGCTGGAGATAAAAGGAGCATCGAGGTGCATTTTGAGACTGCCCACAGGAACACCCACACTTTGACATCACTACAATGATTTAATATGGCAGAATCTGGCAATTGCCATCTCATGTAAATAAGCCCCTTTACCCATTTCTGTGTGAATCGGGAGCTCTAAAGACAATTACTACCCAACTCTTAAAACCTCAAATTTTACACACTTTAAACACATTTTTAAGACAGAGTCCCCATGGGATGACTAGTTTTGCATCATTTTATGGGCTCCTTGGGACATAGATCTCTGTAAACTATTTTTGAAGTGTGTAGGAGACATTGGATATTATATACTTTTAATGGTTTTTGTATTTATTGATTTTATATTGATTTCATAATGCTTTTAAAAATGTTTTAATTGTATATTGTGGATTGTTATGCAATCAAATTGCTGCCAATTTGTAAGCCGCCTTGAGTCACCTTCAGGCTTGAGCAAGGAAGGATAGAAATATTGTGCTGTCACGCGCTGGGCCTATAGCAGTTGGCTTTTGAACAGGACATGCTCCTTGTGCCCAGCGGGAAGCCGCGGTGCCTCGAGTGAGAGGCCCTAAGGATTTTCCTATACAGAGTCTTTAGAAACTTGAAAGGTTTAACAAAGTCCTTTATTATTGCTTAAGTCTTCAACAAACAATCAAATACTTCTTAGATCTTCAACAAATTAAACAAATGCTTCAAGGCTTTGAATCAACTGGTGACTTTCTTAATCTTGTCCACAAGGGACAGGCAACTGGCTTCGTGAACTGTTTCTTTTCTTTAAGAGTAAACCCCTTTTTAACCCCTCCTTGGGCTATCTACTTTCTAAACTTTGCTGGTGTGGGCTCTACTCCTGGCTCCAAACTGCTTCTTGGGTCCCGAGTAGACTCTCCAGCTGAAGTCCTTTGGAACTGTTTTCCCCCGGAATTTCCTCCGGATGCTGTGAGAAACGAAGCTTCTCTACAGGTGGAGCTAATCCATGTCCTGTAGCTAGGTTTTCCAATGCAAGACTGACCTAAAATGGCTCCCTCTCCTCCCAGAGCCCTGGGGAAAGGGGCAGAACCAAAACTTAACAATGACTGATGGGTCATTGGCTCTATAATTGCAAACCAAGGGAAACCACCTTTTACAAAATATATGGAACTTTGGAATACATGCAAACACTCAAAGAAAGAAAAGGAAGTTGGAGCTTTTGGTACAGCCGTACTAGCACAAATATCATAAATAAATAAGTAAATAAATAGAAACAGGGAGTGGTTTTGCATCTGATAAGGTCCTAAGGCATGGAGCTGAGGATTCAAGTTGAAAGTAAATGATTCCACCCTAAATATTAAAAGGAAATTCTTGATGGCAATAGTGGCTCAGCAGTGGAATATGCTATCTTGTGGAGATTGTGGTGGACTCTCCTTTTCTGAAGTTTTTAAAGCAGAGGTCAGATGGCCATCTGTCAGGAGTGCTTTGATTGTGTGTTTATCAATGACAGGTGGTTGGATTGGATGGCCCTTGTGGTCACGTCCACCCCTATCATTTCTCACACTGTCAAAGCTGACTTTGTTCAGCTATATTGCACAGATGTATGCAGACTTTTCAAAGAGTAATTGCAATTTGGGACTTATTCTGTGAAAAATTCACACGTGGTTGTTCTTTTCTTTTGCAAATGACAGCATTTTCTGTGCAGCAAAACATATTTACATAGAAAAAAACATTTCAATGTAGCAATATTAATTCCTGCATAGAAAATGTTCCTTTCTGCACTGAAAGTGCTGTTTTCTATGTAAATCACACACCTGTGATGGAGCCCCCGGTGGCGCAGTGGGTTAAACCCCTGTACCGGCAGGACTGAAGACTGACAGGTCGCAGGTTCAAATCCGGGAAGAGGTGAGCTCCCTCTATCAACTCCAGCTCCTCATACAGGGACATGAGAGAAGCCTCCCACAAGGATGATAAAAAAAACATCAAAATCATCCGGCCGTCCCCTGGGCAACGTCCTTGCAGACGGCCAATTCTCTCACACCAGAAGCGACTTGCAGTTTCTCCTGACACAACCAAAAAAAACCCAAACAAAAACACACACCTGTGATATTTATGTAAAATAAATCCCCATTACAGAATTTTCCGTGCAAAAGACAGAATCATTTTTTAAAAATATATTTGAATATTTTTTCCATCTTTATTTTCCTGTATCTCAATAGCAACTACTCCAGACGTTCTTGAAGTGTTTCAATTCTCTACATGCTGATTTTGGAAGGTAGGTAGAAGTAAAGGTTTTCCCCTGACATTAAGTCCAGTCGTATCCAACTCTGGGGGTTGGTGCTCATCTCCATTTCTAAGCTGAAGAGCCAGCATTGTCCGTAGAGACCTCCAAGGTCATGTTACCTTCCCACCAGAGAAGGTATTGTTCTACTCACATTTGAATGCTTTCGAACTACTAGGTTGGCAGAAGCTGGGGCTAACAGCAGGAGCTCACGCTGCTCCCCGGATTCAAACCTGCAACCTTTCGGTCAGGAAGTTCAGCAGCTCAGTGCTTTAAACGTCTGCACCACCGAGGGTTCCTGATTTTGGAAGGTAAGTATGGCCAATCCTGGTTACTATTTGAATGGTAGACAACCCAGGACCCTTCCACACAGCCATATAACTCAAAATACCAAGGCAGAAAATTCCACAATATCCGCTTGGAACTGGGTTATCTGAGTCCACACTGCTATATATGCCAGTTCAAAGCATATAATGTGAGATTTTATTCAGCTGTGTGGAAGGGGCCTCAGGGAAAACCATGTAATGCTAGGAGGAAATCCTGTCTGAAACCTTTCATGACCACTTTAAAAGTATTTTAACACATTTTTACTGGATATCCATTCTCTTTTTTTCAAAACATCTCTTGGTGGAAGATTCTGTACTACAAACCATCCTGCTATTCAGGCGGTGTTGACTTTTCTTTAAAGGAAAAAATCAATACA